CAAGAACTTGGTAGGATTGTGGTTGTGTGTCTCTAGGTCTATGCTAGGCCTACACCTACAGCTACCTTCTAAATCTAATAGAGTTCGAATTAGCCACGGACAATTAATGCGCACAGAAGCACCCGCATCGACATACGTGGTTCATTATACATACTCACACACGCAGCCTATATTGTTCGAGCTCGACTAGACGCGACGCGACAACAACAAGCGAGGCACAACGAAGGCGATCGCGGTGTCGTACTCGTAGTCGATACGATTACGGTTACTATTACGATTAATTTTCGATAAAAAAAATGTAAGAGATAGCAAGGGAATGCGTATGCAAATGCAATTCGCGCACTGAGCTACCAAAAACGAAAATAAATGGCAAGAGGTTCTAACGAACGATAACGACAAGCGCGAGAATCTGCATGCCACTCGATACGATACCATAACGAAGCTAAGGCCGAGATCTAAACACGAAGACGGAGCGAGGCTGGTCGCTATTAACATTCGATCTGCGTCTGCCATTGCCACTAGCACTACCTAACCTCCCTTCGATGTGACTACTAGCGCTGCTGCAACTGCAGCTGCTTCTGCTGCAGAAGTTCTTGCTCTGCATCTGCGCCTGCATTCTGCAAGGAGCGACTCAGGCACTTAATTCCTAATTGCTTCCACTTTCGAAGTATATACCTAGTAGTATTGTCGTCACTTCTTGCAGGAGGGCTGGACTCGGAGGCCATAAAGGCGCTCGTTATCAACAGCAAAGCACTCCGCTTCTCTCAGTCAACTTCAGCTTCACGTTCACGCAGGGCTGGACTCGGAGGTCATCAAGACGCTCGTTATCGACAGCAAAACACTGCGAGACCTATAGAAATCGGATGCTCAGATCCGTTGGTTTCGGGCTTGCGCCACGAATTCCAGGGGGCGCCCGCGTGGAGGACGACATCTATAGGATTTGTGCCCCCCATACGCTCCCAACCAAATCTCTAAGATTTGTCTGCTAGGAGCAAAACTTCCATATTCTAGGAACGGAATTGTCCGATTCTAGGAGCGGAATTGTCCGATTCTAGGAACAGATTGCTCTGATTCTAGGAAAGGAATTCACCGATTCTAGTAAAATATCAGAAAACGCAAAGCCTAAAAGTACCAAGCTCAACTAGGTAATTGGTGTATTTCTTGAGTCCTTAGTCTCAAGAAAGCGAAAGGGGTAATGAAAAAGTCATAACTTCACACTGCTGTTGTCCTGTGGCTCATTTCCTGAAGAAGTGCGTTCTGCCACTAGAGTTTCGAACCGCTTTAGAAAGCTCGCGCGAAGCTGCAAATACGCAGATCGAGTCTCGACCGTCTCCAGTAGCTCCAATACGCTCCTTAGTTTGTTAGAGGAGGTCAAATAAGTTAGTAGTGTCTATGGAATATGAGATTGTAAGTCTAAGTGTATGCTCTCTTTGCTATTGCCTGAACATGATCTACAGCTCTTCCCTTCTTCTTGGAAACGAATACGGATGAAGTGACACGACAGAAACAAAGAAGATATGAGATTCGTCAGAAGCACGAAAAGAAAATGTCTGTCTGATGTCAGAAAAAGGCCATGGCTATCGGTCGACAAGGCGGGCCATAAGTTCAGGATCAGACTTTAAGAGGTTCATGTGCTCCGCTGCACCTCTCGGGGAAGAGGTGATATTATTTTTGTCTCCTGCAGCAGGACCAGGTGCCCCTAGTAAATGCCTAGAGGATGAAAGGCCTCCTCCTGCTGCGTTCGTTGAAACGACGACCATGGTGTTCGTGTTGTTGAATAATACGATGACTTAACGTCGAGAGCTCTTTAGTTGAAAAATTGATGATTCAACGTTCTTGAGGACGTTACCAATGGCCAAGAGGTACACCAACTGGCGTGGTGCACGTGCAGATGCAGTTCTTAAAATCTTCTGTCTTATCTAATTTTTCTTTTTCAGTGCTTGAGCATGAGCAGTATTCCATGTGGTTATTAATGCAGATAATACTGACAATACTGACAACCAGCTAGTGCTGCCACGAAGTAGAGTTGATACTATTTATTTGATACGAGCTGCGCTTGGATTTTGCGTTTTACCTTCCTTTTTGTAGGTAGAACAACAACAATCAATAGAAGATTTCCATTTCTACGTGTTCACTTCTATTTTTACACCGATACTAGCCTAGTAATACAGGAGACACGCTGACGCATTTGCTGACGCAGATACAAGCAAGTAGCTGCCGGACCGATTTTCGCTGGAGCACATGTTCAGAAATGAAATAGAAACTCCTGCTTCTGCTCGTCACCTTCACAACAGAGAGGCGGAGGTGCACCTCCTGGTGTACCTCTGAAGTGAGAGGCGCGCGGCCAGGTAAGATCGATGGGGGAAAGACGTGCTAAGCAAACCGATTTCAAATCTTGAAGATGCGAACACCAGAAGTGGAAAAAGAATATTTCTACAATTTTGGGCTTTGCATCTGCATCACCTGCGTGACAGCTCCTGGTCCTGGCCAATATGCATCTTCGTCAAACATCACTGGTCATGATGGTACAAGATATTTACACCAGTTGTGAATTTTTATTAGACACTAAATGCAAAAGTAAGAAGCATGTGATATAGAGGTCAGATGGTTTGAAGACAGTGCTTTTGATGCGACTAACACGATAACCACACACGGCAAGCACAACCAACTCACCTGCGGATTGCGATTGAATGGTGCTGCATGGGAATCGGCGACGACGCTGGATAACAGAGGAACTAAAACAGACCAAAGGCTAGCTCTGGACTGTGCAAGCACGCCTGTGTTCCCGCTGACCTAGCCTTGGTAACTTTACGATGCTTCAGCCTCTCTCTCTCTCTCTCTTTCGCGTTTGCGCCTCCTTGCTTAGTGATCGGTAGACGCGTCTACTTTCTGGAAAATTGACCGATTTTTCAATTTTCGGAAAATTGAAGACCTGCTAGAGGGTGTTCTAGAATTCCTAAACTTCCGCAAAAAGTCATCCATAGGAGAACACCAGAGGCCAGTCCATCAATCAGGCTTCCTCCGCAAGGCACCGACCCCCCCCCACGCAGCTGCGACGGCCGCACCTCTACGCCCGCTCGGGAGTGATATGAGGGAGCGACGTCGCCCACACCGCGGGGGCCGGAGCCAGTCACGCTTGGCGAACGCTTCTCGTGGCTAAGCTTAGGGCCCCCAGTCGCGAATCCTCTTGGGCCTTGCTTTAACCTGATGCGCAGCGTTCTCTCGCGTCGTGCCCGGGTTTTCATTGGGGCACAATTTTCGGGGTTTTTTGAGGGAGAAAGGTTTGGCATATGATTGTAATAGACCATACTAAGCCGGCCTAAGCTTGAGTCTATCTTAGACCCTCTCAGTACGTCTTACGTGATGTCACCGAGGTAACATATACCAAACCTGCATGAGGAAAGAGAATGGACACCATGCAGTTCTTGTTACGTCGGTCTTGTCTTGGGTCGTGCTTGTTGTGTTGTTCTTGTTCTGTCTTGGTCGTTCTTCCTTCTTGTGCTTACTTAAGTAGTTAGCTAAGTAGGACGCTGACGCTGCGGAACTGGATCAGAAGATTTCGGATTTCAGTGGGGATTTGGATCTTGTTTCACAATGGATCACAGCCTAAGAAAAAAAATTAGTATACCACAAAAATACCCACCCACAGCTGCTTGCTTCGTCTTACTCTCCTGGTGGAAGGGGGCGGGGGTAAAACGCGAGGGGCTACACCTGTCCCTGTTTAAAGCTCCTATCTTCAAAATGTTACTTATCACAATTCTCTTAAAGTAGTTAATAAGTAGCATGTTGTTCTTCATTCATCAAGTTTCAAATCTGTAAAATCCCTGATTTGCTCTGACCAAAGCTTCTCCACGTCTATGTCTGGCACATTCCCACCAAAGTCTTCCAATAATTGGTCCGGTTCAAAGAAATTCTTTAAATCGTTGACGGAAGAGAGGGGTTGAATCCTGCTTGTCAGTTTCGTGGGCATAATCATGCGCGCGATTGGGAGCATGACATAGCGGACAAAAAACGGAGGCTCGACAATGTAGATCGCTGCTAGCCTTATCGGGAATCTCCCAGTGAAGAGCTTGAAAAGTGCACGCCCGATCGCCGGGTCCACATTCGAGAGCGATATACCGCGAAAATCGTGAAGGACACAGACACCTGTGTTGTTTGTTCAGCATGTATGCCCCTGTTAGTGTCGTTCCTAACATCACCCGTAGAGACAAAGTCTGAATGTAATCACGATCGAAATCGAGAAGATACAGACAGCCTATTAAAAGTATATAAAGATCTACAACCACTACCACTCAAACTACCGAGGTAGTGAGAACAGGCAGTTGTAGCGCCAGCAGCAACCCTTGAAAGGGCCCTTGTTGATGCTTGACCTGTGTTGTTTGATATGCCGTGAAAATCGTGAAGGACACAGACACCTGTGTTCTTGTTTGTTCAGCTTACTGTGTCACAATGGTAGTGGCAAGGACCACAGTATGAGTATGTGTTGATCAAGATCATCATGAAGCTATTTTTCACCCAAGCTAGTACCATGATGATGAAGATGTTGAGTCAGAATTATCTGCTTGTTGTTGTATTAACATGCTGTACTAGTATCTACCATTCAGCTGTGTTTTCTCCGCTTCCTCGGCTCGTGCATCTCCCTCAGACGGCGCTCCTTGAAGGAGGTTGTAAAGCAATATTAGAGGTCAGCAGTCACTGGTCACTGATGCTGAAGGGACGAGGCCTCTTGCAGAGCTCTCCCCTTTTCCTTTAAATTTCCCATATTCTCTAAAGGAGGCTCCTCTTCTATCTCAGTGACCAACCTCAATGGCCAATGCAAGTTGAGCCCTAACAACAGTGTCACAGCTCGTATGGCAGACTCAGCTGGCACAAGCTTCGGATTGTGGTGTCGTAAGCGAGTATTCAGAACTCCACGACCCCACTTGTCACGACACGGTAGAACACGAAAGGCTTGCCACGTGTCTGCTTTTGGGGCGGAGGAATCTGCTTTCGGAGTGCTCGAGGAAGAAGCAGAGGCCGATGATGACGTTACAGGAGTACTCGTGCTCGAAGAGGTAATGGGAGAAGCTCCTGGGGGCGAAGATCCCAATGACGATGATGAAGACGTTGTTCCACCTCCTACATCCCTGAACACTGTTTTCGCGTCGGGATAGTTTGTTTTCATCTCCACAAGGAGATTCCGAAACTCCGTCATCAAAACTTTACTCCTATCAGCGTCGTACTTTCGAGTCCGCATACACGCTAGAGGCATCCAAGGTTCCGGAAGTTTGCTTGCTTCCTCTTTGCAGAAGCTGAGGATTTCTGCCTCTCTGGCTGGATCTTTCACAAGCGGCACACTCCCAGCGTCGTCGAAATGGGATTTAGAGGAGGAGAAGTAGATTGAGTTCAAGATGGTGATGACCTAGTATCATTGATGCTTCGTCTTCTAGATTTTTCCTAGGGTACGTACTACTACCTAAACTTCCTCTAACTAGGAGAATGTGTGATATTAACCTGGTCTTAACTTTTGCGCCGTCGGCAACATGCGTCACCATCTGCCGCATTTGCTGTGTCGACATCTCTTGTTGCGGCGTTTGCAGTTGCAGTTGCGGATGATGACTTTGATCTTTGTTCAATTATTCTGGCTAGTACGTAGGGAAAGAACAGTCAGCAAATAGAGAGTCCTTCGCGCCAGAGTCACAAAAACCACGATCATGACTGGAGTGCAGAACAAAGGCTCCCATCATCAGAGATAAATAGCGTTAAAGCTCTTTTTAGTGCTCAATCTCCCTCAAGCTCAATGGAGGTGGTGGAGTGTATCTCAGTCTATGCAGGTCTCGCGTCATCAGCTTCTTCATCATTCTTGAAAGGTGTTTGTGTTCTAGTTTCAAGGATTCGGTTTCTAGGTAGATTCAGCTCGACAATCACCATTTACAACATCGAAAACGATGGAGAATATTTTGTTGGAGAACTAGTTGCAACTAAAACTATACAATAATCGTTCAATCTGCTGCGTCTTTGCAGAGCGGTTTACGACGTCCGTTCTTGCCTGGACCATAGATACGATATAGAAAAGATAAAAATTTACACCATCATATAATGCTCGCACCGTCGACTATCCACTGTAGGTGTACTGTACAACAATTGCGTTTTCCTAGTTGAAAGAAGTACTTAATTCAACGTCAAAAAAGAAAACAAGATGAAGATGGAGTGCTGTTTTCTAAAAGTAACGAAGGGGTGGATGGTCGTTCTCTTTCCAACTGACTACAAATTGTCTTCATCATCGGCGTAAAACAAAAATCAAAACCGTTTTTTCTTCACCATAGAGGAGGAGCGGCAACTATCAAATCACAAACACAAGTTAGCTCCTGTAGCACTATTGCGACGACTCAATTTTGAGGGTTGCCTAGAATCAATCCAGCTTCCTCCTGGAGAATTCGTAGTTGTCCTTGACATCGCTACTCCACCTCCAACAGCGGGAATGCTAGGTCTGCGAGCTAGGTTTTGTGGTTGCTCAACAGCCGGCATCATTATTCGGCCGCCAGGTGCTCCTGGAGCATACATACTCATGGTAGTGGGAGGCTGTGCATTGCTCTGATGCTGTTGCATTCGTTGTTGAGGAACCGGAGCACCTGCACCTCCTGCCATTTGTTCTTGAGCTGAGTGAGTATAGTCTAGTAGTTGTACTAGCTGTTGAGGTTGTACTTGCGCCTGTGCGTGTGAGTGACGAGAGTGCTCTCTGCTAATGTAACTGTTGTTCATGCTGTTATAGTTCAACTGCTGGTGCTGTTGTTGTATTTGGGTATTGTAAGCATGCTGAACAACGAGTTGGTCATTCACATTCTGCGGTTGTAGGACTCCTAGAGGTGGTAGAAGTTGCGATGGTTGCTGGTGCTGCTGCTCTAATTTCTGATTGGAGGAATGAACAAGAATCGGGCTCAGATTCATCGAGTACTCATGGTCAGTACTCCTATCGCTGTGGGCGCCATTGCTCTGTCTAACAGGCACTGCAGACGCTCCTTGCTGATGTGCAGGCCTTCCCAATATAGCATCATCGCTGTTGTTATTTCTCCTAGTACCAGCATAAATCAATCCCAGTTCTTTCCCAAAAGTCCCGGCATCGAACGCCATTCCACGTGCGGCTGTATGTTTCTCGAACAAATCACAGAAACGGGACATCAAGGAATTCAGCTCGCTCGCCATGAGTTCGCCGTCAGCACACTGTAAAATCGAAGAGCGTAAAGATTCCGTTCGCGGATAGATTTCCGCTTTTCGTGTCCGGATGGCTCTTGCGAGGGAGGATACTTAGAAGGGCCGCGGGTTCTTGTATAGCAAGGTAATTGTACCGCTACCGGGACCAGGATCGATGGCTAATTATAGTCTAAGTTGAAACGAAGAGCCTGTAGTTTCTGCAAGGTCTAGATATTTAGACTCTGACCTGGGATCGAATTCCAAAATGAACCCAAAACTCTAAATTACAATGCCCATAAGCAATCGCCGTCCTATGTGACCGCATCCCTATGTGCTCGCTTCCTGTCGATATGAAGTCGTCTTCATCTGCCACACTATCCGCAAAATTGAAACCATCCTTTCCACCAGAAGACATGACGCTGTAGTTGCTCCCCGCTCGTTCCCTCCGCTGTTGACTGAGTTCTATGAGATCCCGTTCTGCCTTATGATCGATGACATTGAAGTCCAGGGCTCTTTGGAGAGGGTGTGGGTGTGGTTCGGCTTGATCATGATCGTCTCCTCTCCTTGCTTGTTGGTCTTGAGCAGCTCTACCTCTTTCGTTCTCATGATGCAAAACCAGTTGGACCAAACTCGCCAAAAGCACTTCGTTTTGCAAGAAAAGCATGTATGCCGCCATTGCATTAGAAAGCGCGAACGCGAGTGGGTGGATGTGTATGGTGGTTCCAAAAATCGCGCCAAACTTGTTCTTCAAAACAAAACTCCCACAAAGCTCCCCACGAGGACAAGGTCGCGTTGCGTGGTACAAAGCGGTTTTTCGGAAAGACGAAATTGCGCGATCTAGATTCGGATACTCTTTGCTCATATCCCAGTGTGGGGTCGAGGCGTAGTTGTCGGCATCAGAAACCTCTGCTTCCGCCAATTCTGGTGGCTCGCCTATCTTCCAAGGCAACCGCCATTGTGGATAGATCAATATCATCGTTCCCCGTAGCACATTGCTCAATACCAGTGCTAGACAGTCATCCATGGAAGGTCGTAGATCGCTGTAGAGATAGCGGGTCTTCTTGTTCTTGTAAGCTTCCTCTAGCGTTGTCCAAAACTTGTGTAAATTCTCGATCGTTCCAGGAAGTTCGTCACGGCCCTTCCGTAGCTTGTCTCGACGTTCGTCTGTTGTCCTGGTTCCGTCTGTTTGTTGCTCGGTTCCAGTGTCCTTGCTTTTGAGTTAGAGTGGTGCTTTGTGGTAGGCAGACGGAAAACGCCGGGGAACTTTTTAATCGATAATCAGCTAGAAGAAGAAAATCGAAAGAGAGCTTGCAACGAAAAACCGAACCAAGGCATATCATAATCAAGGGCCGCCAAGTCAACCGCTTGTTGCGCCTTCACGATGCTGAGAATGCTAGCCATGATCATCCCTGAGACGGCTTCTGTCCACGGTTTTCCCTGTGGACGAAGCGCCGTGTACTTCGATGTGGGATCAGCCGAAAGCTGCTGCTCGGTAGGTCCTGCATGATGATATCCGAGATTCTTCTTCGGGTAATTCTTTACCGTCGATCTATCATAACTTAGCCGCCCCTTCATCTCCGCCACCTTGATGAGGTCTTGTGCATGTCGCACCCTCAGCAGCGATCGACGCTGATGATGCTCCTGGTGCTGTGCCAGTTGCACTCACACTTGGTGGCATCGACATATACCTCCTTATGTGACTTTCTCCGAACTCTCTGCAGATGAGTTTCAAAATATCCGCTGTCTCGTTCAAGCGCTGTCCTCGGTACAAGCAACCGGGCGTCGTGCCCTTGGGGAAGAGATTTAGGAACATCTTTGGTTTGTTCACAACGTCGACAGCTACAACGCGATGGGGGATTCGCGCTGCTTTCAGAAGCACATCCACACAGCACGAGAAGGTACACGACTTCGCTACACTTCCTCGTGTTTGTGGAAGCAAATCAGAAAGGCCCTCAGCTCGATAAGACTCGACAAATCGATACTCTAGCGTCTTAGCAAGCATTTGCTTAGCTTCCTCTTCACCACGTTGGGCAATGATGTGGTCATGCACCTTCATCTCCGTCTCTATGCGGCTTCCGCCACAGAACACGATGAAAACTTCTCCATCATAAACCGGGGAATTCACGTCTGCCCAAGGTGGGAGAACACAATGTTGATGCCCAGGAAAATCAGGTCCCACAGCGCCCATGCGCGTGCTGATTGCATCTGGACAATCCCTGGCATAACGACCAAGCAAGGGGAGTGTTAGAAGTAGTTGACTCTCAATGCTGATGTGTTGATTGCTTAGTATAAGTATCGAGAGTCAACCTCAACAGCAAAAATAGTCGTAATAGTAAAGGACTAAGCCTTAACATCGGTAAGTATTGTACGATCGATGGCTGTTCTTCCGGACGAGGGAGATAGCCACTGCCGTGCACAGCAGCTGCAGCTCCAGGAAGTATTCTCCTCGTCGACTCCATACCCGAGAGCGCTGTAGAAACATCATGCACTGCCAATGCACCACCGCCAGGAGATGGCACTAGGATGCTCTGTTCGTTTCCTCCTTCGAGACTTTCACTACCGTTGCCACCTTGAATATATTCCATAGGCATGCCTTCTGGGTCTACTTTGTTCCCATAATCACCATTCTCCTGTGGTACCACAGGCACAAAATCCGACAATTTCTCGAAATCAACTCGAACTTTGGCTGCGCCACCTCGTCCTCGAGTTCCTAAAGCTAATGCAGGACACAGCATGTCGCAAAAGCCACACAAAGTGATCAACCGCCAAAGGAGTCCGAGTCCTACGTCTAAGAAACTACCAAGAGTGCTTCCTACGCTAGTAGAAGTGCCTCCACCTTTCCCACCTGCGATTCCACGACCGCCAAGAAACCCAAACAACCCCCCACTTTCATCGGAATCGACTCGCGTCATCACATCGTCAAACCGCAAATTTCCGAATACAACGTCATCGCGGTAAAACTTGTGTGCCGCACTCACGTCGTCGTGATAAACCGCATCTTTGCCTTGGAAAGTAACGCTGAGTCCAAAATCATGGTTGTTCTCCAGCTCGTGCATGTGCTGTTCGGTGAAAGACGAAACTCGGCGCACAGCAGGTTGACCGGGTGCCGCGTAAATATCTTCAGCCCAGGTTTTAGAGGTAAAGTCACTGACGATGACAATGACATGGTTTTAGATGACCATGACATGAAGCATGATCATGTCGATCCTTAAATTCGTCTCCTCCGAAATCGAACAACGGGCTTCCTTCATCAATGACATGCTCCACAACGGCTGTCGCGGTCATCATCGGAATAGTCGTGATCTCCAACGGCACCTATAATTAAGGCTTGCAAACATCGGTTGTAAAAAACTTCATATCTTCTTCTTGTTACTGTACAGGTAGTAACAAGAACTGTATTCGATATTATAACGAATAAATAAGCAAGTAACCGATCAGAATAACCGAGACACTGAACGAGGAAGAGTAGCCCTGTCAATGCTACCTCCCTTATTTCATCTTCAGTCAGTAACTCGGTTATTTTCAGTTTTCGAGAAAATGAGCTCCTGCTTATTTCGCAAGCGGAACCTATTATATCTAAGCAAAAATTACTAGTAATCTAGTACTCTTACTAGCACATTCTCCCTAACATTTCATATACTCTTCTCCCTCAACCGTCCTTTCGATCTTGAGCATGCTCACCCGCACCTCAGGCATGTAAATATGGTTACAGCGTAGATTCCCGAGTCGAACAAGTAGAACTTGTCGCCCATTCCTTGTGCTGACCAAAGCGCGTTTAGCGAAGACAATCGCAGGCGTCGGATGCTGGAGCTTGGTAACGAAAATGGTAAAGACGATTACGGGAGATTAGAAACGGGGATGAGAGCAAAAATAACGGAGGTTAGAATACTTGCTACTGGTACTGCGAGGATAAAGAATAATTCTACCTAGTTCTAGCCATAATTGATCAGTATTCCGCAAAATTGCTGTGTCGATGCCAGGAAAAAAAGGCCCATATCGGGTGCGTCTCTTTCTCGGTTGTACGGATAGAACTGTCCGTATCCCATCGTTACGACGTGGGTTACCGCAAACACTAAAGCAGTTTCGAGCTCAGAAGTGTGCTGATTTCGCATGGTGGTAGAGTTCAAGATCTGTGGCGCGAAAGGCAAAGAAATTGCCGTAAAGACGGCTCCACAAAGAGCGTAGAGGATCAACATGTAGAAGCCCATGCTTTTCCAGGAGGAGTCGAGGAGAAGGAAATACCTGCAGGTAGTTGTCGAAGATAAATCGTTCTTTTTGTAGTTTCAAGATCAGATAGGCTTCAGATGATGTAATTGTAAAAGGCTTGGTTCAACAAAAATGTCGCAATTATGAGATACAAAAGCAACATGTGCATATACCAGCTATCTGTAAGCGACACAAAGCCACGGCGTGAGTCCTGAAGTGCGCTTTGTTCCTTTCCCATCCGGACGAAACCGTTCTTCATTTTCTGGATCCGGATCTCTCTGCCAAGGACCCGCATTGTGTAGTTGTCCTGTTCACGAGAGCCCGCCATTTTCTCTGAATGTCGGTACTTGTCACCGCTGGAGCGAGGTGGTGAGATTTTGGTGCTCATTCTTCGAGTTGAATTTCAATTTTGTTCTCACTGTGGAGGTTGTAGTTCACCATAGATCTTCACCAAACCCTGGCTTCGACCACCGAAAACGTCGTCCACTCTTGCAACGTAGCAGTCGCCGTATCCCTCGGTCGGAAGGTAAGAAGAGCGAGCACCACGTGGATTCCGTCATGATTTTGTTACCAATTCTTTTTACTGTTCGTATTCATGTAGATGTAGTGTAGCCTACTCGTTCAACTCAGTGGTCCTCTCTTCGCCCAAATACAATTAAGCCTGTCTGCTCTTTAGATGAGCATAGGTGTACTCGCCTATTCTACTTCCCAATCGGACTCATCATCTCTCTCTTATATTTCACGAATACCGCTCTCCTGAAAAATCATCGATATGGTCTTCTTCACACGCCACAACCGCCAGTAGTTGAACCAACGATTTGCCAATGCAGTCAGTCCACCGACTGAGTAGATACAGTCCACGAACTGCTAGGCTGAGCCAGCTTACAACTGATCAGAAGAATTATACCAAAGAGAGGCGCGCAATATCGTCAATCCAGGGCTACATCATAAAAGTCGTGGAAGGATTCGTGCTAAAGACACCCAAGGACAATAGAGCCCGCCCAAGAGTCCTGATAGATTTATACTCTAATGTAATTCATCTAGTTCTAGTTGTCAGAAAGAATGGGTGAAGTGTACGTGAAAAGAAACCGAGAGGTGGACCTGGACATCGGATAAACATTTTATTAGCGGGAAACAAATATGACTAAGCACAAGAAACAACATGCGACGTAATGGGGATGCGATTCAGATTGCAGTTTTTCTGTTTCCTAAACTTAAACATGCCCAGACATCACTAACATGGAAAATAGTAGGTCGCGATAATCAAATGACTTGGTGCTGTTGCTGGTCATGGTAACGATCAAACTATTACTATGGTATTTGAGCATGTTGAGTAGAGCACCATATTGTTGACGTTAACCATATTAAACTACATGATAATCATGTTACTACGATTTTGCTACGTGGTGTCCACGCAAGGGATTCTTTCTGAAAGAAATCTGCATTTTGTTCTACATCTAAATCTGAGAAGTACTCCTACTCCTTGTAAAAATTCTAATTAAATGAAACGAAAAGGCCATCAAGTATTCATAAAACATCTTGCTCTTCTTGTTCCACCTAGTGTAGCATACTTCTGGCAGGCTTGTCCGCTGCGATATCGATCGGGCTGTCATCCGCAACTCTGCGACCGCTCTTGGTCAAATTTAATTTCATCTAGATTTAGATACAACTTCTAGAACTAGGATTACGATTAGGCATTGAAAAACAAAAATGGAACTACTTACTTGTTCGGTCATCTTCATGTCTTCAACTGATTGAACGCATGCGCAAAATTAAATGTAGTTATTATCTGTTGGCGCCTGGTACAATTTGTCCAAGATAGTCAGATGTGTCCAACCATGCGTAGACTGATCTCTATGGTCCGACTACGAAGAAGAAATAATACTAATCACGCTGTCGCTGGAAAAGTAATAAATAAATATGATAAATATCTATCTCGCGGTTGGCGTTGGAGGCTCCTAGTAGTTGTACAAAAGCAAGAAACAAGATAAATTAAGCTAAGAAAAAGTAACAAGACAAGACTGGATTCGAATTTGAAACAACTACGACTGTGACGACTGATAGTGACAAACAATACTATATCATAAAAGATAATGAATACCAATTTACTATATTGATTATAAAAGATAAGAAAATCTACTAACGACATTAGTACATAATTTGAGCCTAGTGAAAGTGATGAATGAAGATTCGAATTCAACTCATTACCATCGATGGCCTGCTGCTCATTTTGATTGATACTGTACCAATTTGTTGTGGTGGTTGTGCTGGCTCGGAAAGGGAAGCACTGGTGTTTGATGAGTCATTCGCTTTGGTATTCGTTGAAGAGTTTGCTACACCAGAAGTTGTAGAAGTAGATGTAGTTACCTCCGCTGTTCTCTCTCGACACTCAGCTAACGCAGCGCCGCCGCCGCCTGCCGAAGCGTCAAGACCGTTGGATTCTTCAGCAGTAGTTTGCTGCTCTGCGTAGGCTGTTGAGTTGCTCGTGCTGATACTCTTGTTCAGCCCTAATACGCTTGCTGAATCTGCCGCCTCACCGCTCGTAGTAGTCGGAACGGACGCATCAGAAAAAGGGCCGAATGCTGTACTACTACCATTAGAATCAGCGGTACTACCACTACTAATTGATGCACTACCGGTTTTTGCTTTAGTAACTACGGAAGCACCATCATTTTTACTAGCACTCGACTGTCTACTGCCACGACGCCCGCCGCTTTTGTTCTTGCGTTTATCGATACATCCAGGTGCAAAGACCGGCTCTTTTGGCGCCGCTATTAGAGCTCCCACGGTCGCATCTTCCTCGAGAGTCATATCCATGGCGGGGGCTTCTTTTTCAAGTAGATCATGATGATACCTCCTTAACCTTATGCACAGCAAAAACAATTTTCTAGATAAAGTAAGGATATGTATCTTAACAATGCCATGGATCATACATAATGGAGTGATAGTGACAAACAATACTATATCATAAAAGATAATGAATACCAATAATAAATATGGCATACTCAGGAGACATGCTTCAGCGTAATGTTAAGGGCAGAGTCATCCTCGCGATTCGACCATGAAGCGTCTCACGAATATCCACTGGATCACTGGTGCCAAGTAATTCGTCTTTCATCACCGACACTTCGCCAGTATGAGGATCGCGTGCAGCTCTGCGCGAAGAGTTATCTCGCCATAGCTCCATCGTGAATTTTTGTAGGAGGGAGTCATCCTCAGCTTGAGCTACTTGTTTTCGTCCCAAAGTGTGGTCCTGCACCTCGGACTTATCTCCTAGTAAGTGGCAATCTGTCCTACTGGAAGCCGTGGATGCTCCACTTGTTTTTTCATCAAACGTCAATAAAAAGGTCCACTCAAGCCATTCGCGGTGCTTTTGACTCTTCGTCCGCACACGCATTTCGCCCTTGATATACTTGATGTATAGCCGATCCTGCGACGAGGATTGTTCCTGAAAGGATAATGAAAGTGTATCGAACACAGGTAGCGGAGATGAAAGTCAGTTCAAGACCTCTTGGTCTTGTGAAGTCGAAACCACCGGGGTGGAAGTCAATAGTAGCTGCAAAGTCAAAAACTAAGGTTTGGGTTTGAGATGGAGATGAGAGAAAGTCTTTGGATTGCCATCATTCAAACCGGTTTCTTCTGTGTATCATGTCCCTACTGATCCACAGTTTCACGCCTCTTATTCGTCATTCGTTATGAACAATTTCATTCTCTTCAATTCTGTTGATAAACGACTTGACGCAGTGAATTCGGATTTTTGAACTTTCAACTCTGTCTATGATCTTCAAACACAACCCGGGGCGATTTGAGCTCTCGATCCTCGACCTGTTTTCTACCAAGAAGTCCTACTGTGAACGTCCTTACTTCTTCCTCTATCTACCTTATTCAACCATCAATACCCCGGGGCGTTTGAAGTAGTTAGAAGTATAGGTAAGTTCATAATGCTTCAACTATCAAGAAAAACAGGTGACTACTTCTGACATGTAACATCATTCCTTTATGTCTCTAAAAGCTTCCGTACCGTCTAAGCCTCAAAGGTCAAATTGTACTAGTTCTGTAAGTAATCAAAGGCTGTGAAAATGATTGTGGTGTCAACATGAAACAAAGAAAGTTAAAACCTACTATTGGGAGTTGCATGAAAGTAGTATTTTCTGTAAGTTCTTCCAAAGAAGCAGTGTTATTTGTGTGAGGTTTTACTAGTATCGTTCTACTTGGGGTCGTTACTACGGTTGCTTCAAAAACTATTCCTGCCAAATGCCTGGTCTTCTCTTTTGTCTTTGTTCCTCCCTTCAGTCACGCTTAACGCTACGCTTGGGCCCACTCCCGCTGGCAGGAGGACTACAGAAGACGACCCCTAGGGATTCCACTTCCTTTTCACAAGGCATGCAGTTAAACCTAGTTGTCCTTCTCCCATTCGTACTCTCGCCAGTAGAATTTGACTCCCTCTGCACTCTTGCTCTTCTTGTCACCCTTGAACTTCGTTCTCCAAATTCCGTCCTGCATCAGCGTTATAAGGGCTTGGTGTTTATCGCTGTCAAAAGGAATCCGCTTGGTGGCCGTGTCACAGGGGTTGGCTACGTCTGTAATAAAGCCAAGACCTAGATCTTCCTTCTCCTTGTCCTGCTTGATCAGACATATGTTCTTAAAATCCCTTGAAGGCTCAATTGAAGACCTCTTATTGATTCTTTTGATTAAGCCATCATTATCTGATCCCCATGCCATTCTGCGATATTGTCCTAGATGTGCAAAGACTTCTCGGCGAAACGTTCCCACTGGAATGTGCTGCGCTCCACTTTCTGCTTCCGCACTAAAGCTAGAAGAGCACACCGCTGCTGATTGTTGGAGTTGCCAGTCGATGATTGTTGCCCTGTAGCCCTCTGGAAGTGGCTGGTCAACATCCACCAGAAGTACTAGGCATGCAATCAATGGCATGAGCTTGGTCTGTCTTTGCCTACTTAGCTCCACCAGCTTGTTCTCCTTCTCCTCTTCATTCATGTTTTCCATCTGAATGACATCCTTCATCTCTTGCAGGATAGCCGGATCCGTGACCGTCCTCGGGCCTACAGCTCCTTGGAAGGATGCATCAGTGATCACCACCACTGCCCATCCCTTAGTGTCGTAGAAGACGCAGAGCACAACATCCTTTTGAGTTCTAGCTCTATCTACCGCAGCCTTCACGAACTTAACATGCTCTTGGGTTGCCGTTACCAGGGATCCTTGACTGATCTCCCTGAATGCGAACAGTAGGTCTGGTTTGCACGCATTGACTGTGAAGCCTAACTCACCCCGGACACCAAGGATGTTAGTGATTTGTTCCGGTGTGAGCTTGTCGTCTGAGTTGAGTCCTGCCACCTTGAGATTACGAAGCCCTTCCGCAAATTTGTGGGCTACCGAGAACTCAAAACAGCTCTTTTGTAGTATGTGCTTGATCTTCTTTCCTGCATAGATTCCCTCTCCAATGTTGTAAGACTCTATTCCAAAGCGTTTCAGTAACGATCCAACCACTGCTCCAGCGTGTTCTAGTTCAGCCAGAATGATAAAGTCATCTACTGTAGTGGGTACTATCGCGTATGGCTTATTCTTGACTGGTACAACCTGTTGGACCTTAAAGTCCACCGATTCGTTTTTCCGGTCCTCTGGCAAGTTTTCCCGATACCAACTGTTGCAGGCCTTCTGCAGTTCCAAGTTTCCATCCTTGTGACATTCTGCTAGGTGAGAGCTGGCTTTCTGGGTACCTCCTTGCAGGAAGAAAATTGCCGGCGCAAGGCTAGACGAAGTGTATCCTCTGGCCTTAAGGGCTGCTTCCACTGTCCTGTAGAAGCCTAGTGAGCCACATGCGTCGCCGTAGTGGAATAGTGAGAATAGACCAGTGGAGGTCGGGTAGAACTGAAATTCCGCTGCTACTGTGAAGGTGAATTCTGCTCGCAAATTCATGGGGAATCTAAACCTTCTGCGAGCTGAGGGTGCATGTTCGTCGGACTGGTTAAACGCCCTAGGGGCATCAACCATAATTGCAACTGGCTTGCAGAAGATTCCTGCCGAACTGGCAGCCACCCGGATGTCACCCTGTGAGACAACTGCAGCCGATGTGTCAGCTCCTTGTGCTAATTTGATGGAAGATCCATCACAGACCAACCTGAAAGCAACCTTGCCCAGATTCTTGGAACTCCTTTTGATGTCCCAGATGCCTCTTGTTCTGAGTTGATTCAATTTCTGGTCAAATTCGTCTCCTTCTTCATAGATTTTTGCCACTGTTTTCCCAGTTCGTTGAACAGTCTTGAACAGTCCATCTAGCTCTTTCCTCAGCGCCGCTTCCATTGCCTTTTCCAGTCCACATCGTATTAGGAAAGATTCGTCCACATCGGTGACCTTCTCGCAGCTCTCAAACCTCTTTCTCACGTCTGGGGGCAGCCTCGACAGTAGGAAAGTGCCGTCATGTTGTGACTCTAGTGATAGGTCGACCACCGGTCTGAAACGTAAGACCAAGACATGATCCGTCTCAAGTTTCGCCTGCAGTTCCCTTACTTCGTAGATCATCACACCTTCTGCCTCCAGTAGCGGTTTCCCATATCCTTCTACCACTTTCTCTTCTTCAACGCTACCAGTCATGCTCCCTTTCCCCCGGAAGAGGAGATACTTGTTACAACCGTCCTGCATGACTGGAGAGTGACGCACCGTTCGGAAGGTTTTCTGGATGATTACTTCCTTGAGAAGATTGGAAAATTGTGCATGAGCAAGCGCGTTGTTCAATTCCTTGAATTGTGGTTCATGGACAGAGATCGCAGCACGTTCGCTTACTATTTTGTATGCCAGTGGAAGATCGTCAATTTTTAGATGGTCTACTGCAGCATTCTCGTTCTGGTCGGTTCGGATGGAGTTAGCAACAACTTCTGGAATTTCTTGTGCGTCTTGGTTGCAGTCGTAGATATCCGCCATGCGTACTGTACAAGAGGAGCTTAGGGGCTCGCCTGCCGTGAGGTGTAGCAGCTCGGTGTCATCTTGAGGAGCAAACAGATCCGGAAAGATAGAGGTTTGCCAGGATTTCAGGAAGTCGGCAAAATTGTCCCACCCGTTGTTTTTCAAGGAGTGGCTCTTGTTCGTATTTTTAAAAAGAAGAATCTCGGCAAACGTAGTAGTCTTGGAAAAGGTTCTGACAATTTGTTCTTGAAGTCGGTCGATTTGTACGGCTTCGAGAATTTTACCGTTGTCTTTGTCACGCTCATCGAGTAGAATGAGCACTCTGGCATCAGCTTTTGCTGCTAGGCATTCTTTGTGCTGCTTGGACGTTTTATTATGGAACGCAACGATTTTGATAGAGCAGAAGTTGTACTGAGTTTTTAATTTCCTGATGGTATCACCTGTGAGGTACGTGTGTAGGAGATCTTGCAGTGGTCCTTTCGTCGTGAGCGGAACTCCATCACGGATGAGGTGAACACCTTGGAAATCAGGAACTATTTTGTCCAGCAAACGAGTTGGTACTTTGTCAGTTTGCCATGCACGAGGAGCAACAAGGAGTCCATATCCCCGTGCCTGCATATCACAGATCTCTTCGCACTCTACTCCTAGCATGTTGCAGCGGAAGGCTGCTGCTGCTCGTCGTCCAAAGTGCAGATGCAGGTTTTGCTTTGCTGCTTGTTCTCCCAGCAGTCGAAACTTGCAGCACTTGCCACAGATTGCCTTACCAGAGCCAGATGAAATTGGTGCAATGGTAACTCTTTTCGGCGGCAGATCCTTTTCGCCTTTGAGTCGTAGTCTTTGCTTCTTTGCAAGGGCGTCGACATTGTGGACCGTAATTTGCGTTAGTTCTGGAAGATCGATGAGAGAGCAATCGTCCCTAGTCCTTCTTATTAGGTTTTTCTGCTTTGTTTTGACCGCACCACCCGTTGTCGTTGAGACAAGCACTCTGTTTCCAAAGAGGCCAACCTTGAGACCTCTAATGATGGCTGGTTCCCATTTGTTTTGCTTGCCAATTATCTCCACCCTATCACCTACCTCGTATTCTGGGTCAGTTAGTTGCGCTCTGATGAGTGTTGAAGAGCGCAGTCTATCTAGAAGGTATCCAAAGTATTGGGTCGAGCACCTGTTCAGGCATTTTGCTTGGAACTTGTAGACATGTCCTGGAAGAACTGCAGCCGACTGCGCTAGCGCTGTTGTGTCGAAGCAGATGCCTGGGTCAAGAGGAGAGACACAGGCACGCATGTATCCTCGTTGTACTGGAACGTTGTCTGCTCTCATGTACTGTGAGCCAATCATTGGCGAGGATGACATAAAATCGTATATCAGGTTGATCTTTTCTTGTTCTGGTAACCTTCCAAAGATGATGTCCTCATCGATTTCTTCATAGAAACTTCTTGCAATGCAGTGTTTGTACTCTTGTTTTGCTATTCCAGTCTCGTTTCCTGCAGATGTGGCAAAAAGATCTACTCCGAGTCGCCGTGCCCCGACTACTGCCACAATATTTGTGTTTTCCTTTCCAGGATCTGAGATGTTGAACAGCATCATGATTCCACATCTGCGGGCATGTATTAGAGTTCTGACAGTATCCAGGCCGGTAGGGTGAGCGGTTCTGCAGTCTGCAGGGACGTCATCAGTAACTCCTATGGTGCCCCGAGCACCACTGGTGGATGGTCTATCGTGGTCATCTTGTTCCTCATCTGAAGTAAGCTCGATGTCTGATGATGGCGAATCATTTTCGCTTTGCAGTAGCTTTTCGGTCTTCTTGAGAGAGAGAAGAAGGCCTTCCTGTTGTTGTTCTGTCTCTACCAGTAGGGGATCTTTGGCTGTTTCAGCAGTAAAAGGCTTTCGCCCCCGCTTCTTTTCCAGCACTGGCGCTGTCTGTTTTACTCCTTGCCGCTCTTTAGGTTTGTATTTGGGTCCAAGCACCAGTCCTGCTTGTTCGGGACCAAAGACTTTTGAGACTGCCATAATAGCCAAGGGAACTCCTCCGTGTTTGGTGAGGAACCAGGTGTCTGCGATGGTGGCTGCATGCAAGTCCAAACCGCAGAAACTTCCTGTTGCCCGTCGACGCTGCCCACGCTTGTATCGAAACCTGAAAGCCGCCTCGCGTACCAGTGTCTCGATGGCTCGGGAGAGCTCGTCCTCGTCACAGTTGTGGAATTCTTTGGCTGCTTCTTCTCGTATTCTTCTTTCTGGTGGTCTACCTTCTTGTAGCCACCATCCTCGGAGATATAACCAGATGCGTTTTTCGCGTTCGGAAAGCAGAGTGGAGGGTGACCCAACGAAATTCTGATTGAGGGAGTCGATAGCCGCTTGTTCACTAGTGGCGATGTCTAGTTTGACCAGCTTTCCTTGTATGTCAACAGTGAGGTCTTCTCGCAGAAGGTGTCCAGAGAAGGATAAATGCGCTGGTCGTTGTTTCTTTGCCAACCTGTATTTATTTGCTACAGCTTCACATACCGCCACTGCAACCGTGAGTCCGTCACTGTCAGTGACGAGGACCTTCTTATCTTGTTGCAGCAGTTGCCCAACCTTCCATACAGTCTGCGAGTCTGAAACTGCAGCTACCATTTCTTCCGATAGACCGGATGGCCCAAGGGTACCTGGCGTTTCTTTTCTAGCGTACTGCTGTATGATGGTTTTCAGATCGGCACAATTGTTTACATCTATAACTTCTGCTTCGTCTTCGACAAATTTGTGTACGTCTTCATCTGTAGCGGCACTGAACAGGCAGTAGTTTCGTAGGTGCACTGGTATCCTCATCTGGGTTAGTACTTGTCGTATTCCCTTCTTCTGTTGTCCTCGATGGTGAAAATGGGAGTGAACGGGCACCCCACAGTAGCCCCGAAAGTGAGCTTCGTGGATAGAAGTTCCTCCTGCGTTCTCCTCTCTCGAGCTCCAAAAGTAGAAATCGACGATGATGTTGGTGGGTTCTAACAAGGCAGCACTCCGCAAAGCCGGACTCAAACTCCAAAAACGCTTGTCATCTGCTATTTCCTCTGTCACTTTTTCCATCCGTCGGACTATTCTCCTTCCGCACCTAGCTGCCGTAGAGATTGGAGGAGATGGAAGAGTAGTACAATCGTACTCAAAGCGTCTGATTAACCATAGCTGATCGGCTTTGTTATGATTCGGAGGAAGTGGTGCCTCGCTTTCTCGAAGAAGAGGAGTTTCCTCTCGGGACTGTAGTTCTCCTCCTACAACACGGCCAGGGTGGAGAACGTCTAATGGAAGTGTTGGTCTAGCGACTGCGTTGACTGTCCCTGCTGATATTCCATTTGAGTCTGGTTCTACTGGTATGACTAGGTCCCTCTCGACGGATTGCAGCAGAACAGTTCTTACTAACTCGTCAGGGTGTTGTTCTGGGTCGCACTCTTTCCTTTTGGATCCAAAAACATGCAGGAAGCTTTCTTCGAGTCCCATTCCCGACTTGATCATATTGCTCCACTCTTTTAGCCCCGATTCATCGTTTAAGTACGAGTACGGGGCCACAATGTACTTGTCACGACGATCTCCAACCGGATAGCTGTAGTACCATCGGAAATCAGGATGGTCGCATCCTAGCCAGTGTCCATCTGGAGACTCTCGAGTCGCCACATTAAGTGTCGAGTTGAACATCTTGCCAATCAGCAAATCGGTGTTGTGGGCAGGACATAGGACTTCTACCACCGCTGGTCGCGGGCCCAGGATGATGGGCACCCGTGCTCTCTGTCTCAAGTCCGCTGGTAGGACTCCAGCATTTGACGCAGAGCCTCTGATATTTTCAATGGCCCCACAGTCAATGCCAAAGCTGAGGAGGCGAGCATGGATAGCCTCTACCACGAAATGGGATTCGTAGACGTATCTGTTGAATCCACTATCAGCTAGCCCACGTCGGCTTGCCACATTTTCTTGCATTGAGAAGATGTCCTGTTCACACACTATGGCGGGATTGACCCCCACTGCAGTGTCTGTTGGGAGTTCTACATGTAGTTGGATGTCTGCCAAGACTCCTTCTGTCTTTGCGAAGCCTGGAGCTTTGTCGTTGGACCCGGACACAGCGAACACTACTACCACCGTCTTTTTCTTTTTGGACTCCTCCATCAGATCTTCGAGGCAGTCCAACGAGTCCGTGAGTCCTAGTAGTGGATCATATCTCTCTGCCCAAACACAGGTGCTATTCTGGAGAGCGATGATCCCCGCCACGTGCCGATTACTTTCTTCGAATTTCGCCGTTGCCTTCTGCAGCACCTTTAGCAAATCCCCCAGGCTCCCATCAATTGTTACCTCTTCGTAGAAGCATGCTTCAAGTACCTGGTCCAGGGCGAGAGCACCTTGTGTGCTTCTGAGGTCCATGCCTTCAAGCTCCGCAATAGCGATACCGGTGTCATTGAAATGGGCTTCTTCTTGAAGTTCCTCATTCGTTAGCATGAAAGAGCTCTTTTGGTGTAGGGCAGTCTCCCTGAGGCGTGCTTCAGTCTTCTGCGGTGAGGAGTCTAGTTGTTTGGAGGAGAAAACATCAACTGGAGCACCGAGGTTGTCTGTCCACAACGTTCGTGGTTCAATACTCACTCGCAGCGTGTCCACCTGCCCATTACCTGATGCATAGTCATCCTCCAGGGGACTCGTGTCCACCTCTTCATCGTCACAGAAGTGCTCTTCTTCAACTTCATTTTCATTGATTTCAACTCCCAGATCACCAAATCCTTCCCACTCCCTTTCGACCTCCATTTGGTATGAGTCCAGCTTGATGTTCGGCTTGTTCTGATAGGGAAGAACTTTCTTGCTGTTGTTTTGACTGTTGAAGTGGGATGACTTTTGTGGTAGTTTGTTCCCGATGACTTTTGCAAATTCCGAGATTCTTTTGTCACCACCCAGCGAGAATACCTTAACTTTCTCATCTCGCACCGTGACGTGTAGATGATATCGCCGGTTGGAATTTTGGTCTCGTGCTGCTATCTTCGCCAGAGACATGAAAAGTCCTATGTTATCTCTTTTGCAACTGCTCATGTTGTGATCGGGACTCTTGCATATCTCGCAGACGTCACCTGGGCCATACGGGCAGGATGTTTTAGGGTGGAAGCCCCGGGATCCACATCCAAAACATTGCAGTCGTGATTCCACCACCTCTTCGTACTTCCTGACAATTTTAGAGAGATTACTTCCTCCCCCACCAGTGTCTGATTGTCCTTTGCCACCCTTGCTCTGACCTGCGCTGAGTGCTCTCTTTGGAAGGTTGTTTGAGGGATTGTAGTTGTACCAGTTGCTTTGAATCCTATTCACTGCGACATCGCTCAGTCCTTGAGTTAGGGCCGTGAGCAGAGCCGCATCATCTTCGATTCCGAGCGTGTAAATCGAAGTGGGCGCTTTGGGTCGTTCTAGTCCTTTGCGAGCTGGAAGCATCACTGTTTTCTCGTTGACGATGTCCGCAACCGCCTGCTGCAGGAAACGGAACACCGGCACTGCGTTTCTGCGACCTCTGATTGGAGTTGGGTTCAACTCCAGAGCTCTACGGCGAATTACCTCTGGAATCCCAATCCTTCTTTGGATCACTCTCCAGGAGAACGAGCATGCCTTCTCGTCGGTCTCGTCTGGTTTCAGTTCGTGGCCTCTATTGGCCAAGTTAGCAGCTTTCTGCAACTTGTCCAGTTCTGTGTTGAGACACGATCCTTCGCTGGCCTTATAGTCCTCCCAGTCATCAATGTACTTCAGATAGGACATTGACTTTCCTGGCCACAGAACTGCTAGGCTCCCGATAACGTTCGACCACGTGTAGCTCTGTCCATCTGCTATGGTGATCGCGCGTGCTTCCAGAGCTCTAAGAGTAGCTTCTTCCTTCTTTCCAGCACTCTTCAGAGCTTTTAAGAAAGCTTTCACTTGCTTTCTCTCGGTATGTGTGCCAACCAGTAGATGTGGATTCTTAACATCGGAAGCCACAAATGATTGTATCTCGTTGATCAGTTCGTCCATCATCTCCGCATCCGCAGGAAGGAGCCCAACGTATTCTATCGGTTTCATGTTTTGCTCACCAAGGTCAAGCTCCGGGACGTAGTACACTTCCTTCCAGATTTGGTCACTTTCGAAATAAATTCCCACCACCGGCGAGATGTCTATCATCAGATTCTCAGCAGCAAACTCGAAGTCCTGTGGTGTGGTTGACGTGGTCACCCACTCTCGGCGCCTCTTTCTCTGCTCTTGCCTTTCTTTCTCTTTAGCATCGGGTCCCCAGTTTGGATAGCGTGACTTCCCAAACCCTTTTTGGTAGTGGTCGTCATCCTCCTCCTCGTCATCGTTCTGTTCTTCATTTCCCCACTGTTCCTCTCCATACCAGTCTCCATCGTCATAGTGATTGGAATAGTTCTGTCCCTTCTGATTACTTTGCCGGTAGTCGTATCCCCTTCCACCAGTATGGTGGGTGCTGTAGCTCCTTCTTCCCGAATATCTACGGTTATTATCGTAGAATGTCCGTTGCTGGTGTTGGTAGGATTGAGACCTTGGTGAAGGTCTACCACCAAAGTTGAATCCACCAGAGCCTTTTTGTCCCGAATTGCCCTGTGCATCTTCGTGCTGTAGTCCGTCGACTGTGTGGTAGTGGTTATACCGCTGGCCACCCTTTCCCCCCGGAAGAAAAGAAGAGGAAGAAGAAGAGCGCTGTTCTGCTTCCTCAAGTTGCTGAAGTCGACGTTGCAATTCGGCTTTTTCAGAGACAGGATCTTTCTTCGGAGACCCTGTAACGTATTTCTCGTGGGTAGATCTACCGCGTATCTCTTTGCCATGGTTATTGCGCCAGTTCTTATCTGTATTAACCTCCTTTTGATAGCGACTGGTGCCTCTGTTGTTCTCTTCGCCGGTATTGGAATTTAGCGAAGAGATGTGTGAAGAAGACGATGGGTCGGGAGAGAATGCAGGGCCACCGGAATTCTGTCCAGGTGGCATTTTGTCGTTTTGAGCAGTTCTGGAACCAGCGAAGACTTCTTCAAGCTTTGCTTGGAAAGAGGCAAGTTGTTCTGAGATAAGACTTTCGCGTTGTACTTGTTGAAATTGGATTTGCTCAATTTGTGCGGTTACTGAGGCAAGATGACTCGCGTCCGTAGTAGCCTTAGCGGTCAATTCTTGAATTGCTGCACTTGTGATTGCTTGGGTCTTCTGGATTTCTGCACTGTCAGACTGTGCCCTTGCCACTAACTCTTTAATGGCTGAATCGGTGGTCTGCTGGGTCTTGAGAAGCTCTTCTGTCACTGCTGTAGTTTGTTGTTTTATATGCAGATCCGCGGCTTTAGCTTCCTCAATCTTTAGCGCATTCACAGATTGCTTTGCAGCTAAATCGAGAACTTGACCTTCTAGATTCACACCTGCAGCATTGGTAGCTTTTAGTCCTATTAGTGTTTTATGTATTGCGCCTTGTACCTCTGCAAATTCCTTATGAGAAACTGAAGGGGGAGCAGAGGTTCTTCTTCGAGGTTGTGGCTGAGGGGCCTCTGGGTCCACTATTATGGACTTACCACCGAAGCTTTTACGACGTTTTCCAGAAGACACAGGAAGTGTTTCTACAAGTGCAGAGTGTTGATCTTCTATCGGAATAGCATTAGTACCTTGACGTGAAGCAAGTGGAGCCGCAGGGGAAGAAGGTGAAGGAAGCGGCAGTTGATTTGACATGACTGTATCAGAGAAGAAGCACCGCTGAGTGAGAACTCTAGGAGAGTTTCAACCTAGCAGTTGCTTTCCCCAATTTTGTAACATCAAAACACCACACAACAACCTTGCAACAGTCTTCTTGTAAATCAGAGTATGTTTGCAGGATTGAAGAATCGTGTAGGTTTTCTCTTCAGAACGATTTTGTTTTCTCCTTCCTTTTTATCTCGTTTGACGTCGGATGAGGTGGAGAGTTCGTCGTCAGAGAGTACTCGTATATAAGGGAACTTTCTTTTTGGAGGTCTTGTCTCGGCCGACGTAATCCCTTCTCGTTTTCGCGATTCTTGTACGTCTAGTTGAGAGGGACCACTATGTTGAGTATACGATTTCTCGTGAGCGTGTCGTGATGCTGGTACGACGGGAGGAGTCACCTTAGAAGAAGATGCCGATAGCGATGTCGTTAGAGGAGTGTTGGAGAAAGAAGCAACTTTGGCTATCGTTTGATGGGTGGTTACGAGGCCAGCTACTCTCTTTTTGATGACTAGTTTACTTGGAGCTGCAGGAACTTTGGTTGCTTCTTCAGATGCAATTGGCCGGGCGTCTTGATTGAAAGCAGATAGCTTGTTTGCTTCCTTTTTCTGGTTCCAAATTTTGATAAGAGCAAGTTGTTTAGCCTTGGCTTCCTTCAGCTTTTCAAGCGATTCCTTTGCTGCAATCAGGTTCTTCTGCTCGATCTTGCAACTGGAAAGAGCGTGATATTGCTTTCTAAGCACCTCTTGCCCTTCTTCCTTTTGTTGATTCAGGATCAGCAGGCCAGCTTCAGCTTCGAGATTCTGCTTTTCTAGTCGAAGGACTTGCTTCTTTTTCGCGTTAGCGTTTTTGGATTTTCCGAAGAGCGCGTTCTTGGTGAAGTGGTCAGTAGTCCCTACCACTTGTCGTTGCAGTCGCTCTCCTCTTACTGGAATAAATCTAGCTGTTGTCTGCCAGCCATCGAGGGTCGGAAATTGTACTACCCTTTTCACAAACACATTATTCTCAAAAATTTGATCGTTTATAAGTTCGACTGCTTGTATGATCTTGTTTGCCTTTTTGGAGCCTAGTTTTGTAGCTAAGCTGCGTGATACGCTAAGTTCATAGTCACCCATTTTGAGGTAAGAGTGTTTGGAAGACAGTTGCTTGTTGTAAGGTGCAAACTACTGAAAAAGAAGACACGACTACTGTTGTATTTAACCGGTATTAGCTAATATAGTCCTGTACTTCGTTGGTGAGGTGATGACTATTAAAAGTTATAATTATTGCAGAATTTTTCTACTGGCTGTTGTAGTAGTAGTTGTATTTAGTTATTTCGTGCCTGTTATTTCCTGGATGTGAAGTCGTTTACTGTTAAACTAGTACTAGGAGGATCTGTAAGATTTTGTCCTATTAGTTGTTAAGCGGGAGGAATTGCGCAATACATTTGTTCTTCTGCTTCTTCAAGAGGTGTTTGCAGCAGCATGGCATAGAAGTCTTTGCATTGAAATTTTGTTAGATCTAGGAATTTGTGAATTTTGTGATTCTGTCGTAGATGAAGATGCTCTGTCACACTGTTGCATCTATTCAACACTTTCTTGAAACCCTGTATCAGTTGGAGGGGAAAAGAGCATCCCGCGCCTCCGGAACACTTTTTATGAAACCGTGCCATAGGTGGAAGTCTCTCCTTTTGTTGGGTATTATTTAGTTTAAATGTTTGTAGTGGATCGCACTTTCCTAAGTCACAGACTGTGCTTGCTGTGTGAGAAAGTGTCTTGTTTCTATTGGGGTTGAAAAGTTAGGGTACAGCAAACAGAAAAGATTACTGAAAATATCTATATACTTATACGATCTTGACATATAAATAGCATTCCTATTAGTAAGGTAGTCTTTGTTTGATGCAAAAGGGTATGCCTAGGAACTTGGGAGAGCAGTTCTCGTTGATAGTGATATAGGGACGTTTCTTTTAGTTCGATTGTACTTCAGAGTTGCTAGCAAATTACTATTATTTGTTTTTCCTCCTCTCCAGTCTCCTCCTATGACACTCTGCTGCCAGAGAGACTAACATTTCTCCTTCTTCTTACATGTTCTCGGGGCTTGAAGCCCTAACCGTACGAAGCCCCTTTGTGGTAAAGATGACTTCATAGTTTGCATGGAGGTTCTTGGAGACGGCCTGCAGCCGTTTCCCAAAGACCTTTCTTGCCTGGCATTGCTCAACCCACTCCAGGACAGAGCCGTACTGCTTTCGGACCACCTCAGAGTTGACGACGTCGGTAATACTACCTGTTGGCAGTGCAAGCTTTGTCTCGCCAAAACCAATGAGCTCGCAGAAAGCCATGGTCGATGAACGGAAGTTATCTGTCTCGGTGTAGGCCGCATTGAACAGTTCTTGAGAAGAAGTTTGTGGTAGACGCAAATTCATTCGAATTCTGCAGAGTTCATGGCGCGTAAGGTTGTAGTTGATGTTCCTTCCCTCTTTTTGTAGTCGGTGTCGCAAGTCGTGGACTATATCTTGCATCATGCTAGCGGAGATTTGCATCTGTTCCAGAGCGCCTTTCAGATCGCGAATCTCCTCGTAGATGAGCGATTTATCATTTTCAGCTTGCGCAAACAAATCACTCTGGGAAAGACGAGTTAAATCCTGCACATGTTTCACTGCCAGATTATGGTATCGACGAACTGCTGTCATCAATGGATGGTGGCACTCAATGAAGATTCGTATCTCCTGCACCGAATCCAGTTCACCAAAAACGCAGAGAGAGAACAGCACTTTCTCGGAGCGGTCTCTTGCACGCTCCTCATACTCCTTTCGACGCTTGCTTTCCTGCTGCCGTTGTTCGTAAGCAGAGGAAGTTGTAACCTGTTCTGGGTTCTGGACCGGTAAGGATGACCTGGCAGGAGAGGTCTGGACGCCGGTACTTTGCGTTGTTTCCACTTGTGGTTGGACAAATAGGGTGACGCTAGAAGTGGCCTTTTTAGTGTAGCTCCATTCCGTCTCCACGTACTCTTCATCGGTCAGACAAACAGCATTCTGGATGATGTTATCCGCCATTTTCATGATGAAAGAGCTATCCCCATCCGCATGCTCTTCCACTTCCAGAGCACTTGCCGTCCCAGAGGGCATTTTGCCAACATAGGGAACCAACTTCAGGTTGTTGGTCTCGCAATCCACTACAGCTTCCCTCCCCACAGAGTGCGGTGACTCGGGTTTCACCCCTTCTGTCACCTCCCCGCAGAGAGAGTTGCCATCGGTAGACCCCTCCAAGCCTTCGTCGGCATTGAGAGTCACGAGACCTACCGCCATATCATCAGTTTGTCCCTTGTCGACAACCTCTGCATCTGTAGGACACTCGCCTTTATCAGGACGAGGAGTAAGATTGTGACGCTCCGGCATGTTCGGAGTATCGTCGTAGAACAGGATATTAGAAGGAGCTCGCCCCTGTCGTCGTTCTGTCCTCGGTTCCGCTATATCGCTCCGGGTGAGATGTTCTGTCCACCAGCAGCAATGCTTGAGAAAACTCCACCGCACCGCCGTCAGAGGGGAGAAAATAGTTTACCCAGTCACTAAAACGGGAAACCCTTCCTCTGATAACCGTACACAAATGTCTATCTGATTCTATGAGGTCCCCTTCTGTCCTGAATCTTCTATCCACAACTTTGGGGTCGACCGGACAGCAGATATTGAGGAGTTTCGAATCTCGGTGAATTTTGATGTCAGAAGCTTCTTCCTCCTCCTCGTTAGTGTCACCAGAATGATGTTTTAGAAGAGGATGAACAAGTTTCAAGTCAAACAGCCTTAGTGACCACGAGAATTTTTCAGGTGTGTTCAAAACTGCTCTGGTGGTGCTCGTTAACTGGTCTGCAGGGTTTATAGTTGAAGAGGCAATTCTAGCGAGTTCTCTGGGGTGATTCTCTTCTACTGCTTCTCTAGCTGTCTTCAGACTACTGAACATGGACATATCCACACCTCACGGAAAACTGTTGTGTTTCAGAACCAGGAAGATTCTCTGCTTTATCTCTGCGACTTCGACAGATTCTGCCCCAATACTTTTCCACAGCTTGGGCAGAGGGCAGAAGCAGCTTTCGCACAATCAGGAAGGTCGTGATATAAGAAGAAGTCTAGGACGCTTGCGGCTGCTGTCTGTCTTCTGTACTGATTTGAGCCGTTATGAAAGCGAGCTACTATTTCTTGCAGTTCTCCCCAGGTCAGCGTAGTGTCCAGCAGTTCTAGAAGTTCCAGATGTACTTGATGCTTTATTAGGGAGGACTGTGAGTAAAAAGAGATTGCAACTACTGTTGGTTCGTTCAAAGAAGAGGCTAAGATGAAGTCCTTCCTTTTTCTTGAGGAAGAATGGATCAAAGATATGTCAACTTTGTCCCAAATGCTTGTAGGCAGTCTTATCGAGACTACTCTGGTTGTCGTCAAATCGAGTTGGTGCCGGTGGTCCACAAAGCCCGTTCCTTTAATCTTGGGTAAGGCTGCCGGCATGTCCAGTCATGTTTTTGAAATAAGTAAGTCAATTCAATGATAACGAAAAATGTCAGAGTAAGGGCTCTCTAGGAATTAGGTGGATCTTTTATTCAACCAGCTAAATACAAGTCAGCTGATAATTGATACCAACCACTCTCCGCTACCATTGAAAGTGTATCGAACACAGGTAGCGGAGATGAAAGTCAGTTCAAGACCTCTTGGTCTTGTGAAGTCGAAACCACCGGGGTGGAAGTCAATAGTAGCTGCAAAGTCAAAAACTAAGGTTTGGGTTTGAGATGGAGATGAGAGAAAGTCTTTGGATTGCCATCATTCAAACCGGTTTCTTCTGTGTATCATGTCCCTACTGATCCACAGTTTCACGCCTCTTATTCGTCATTCGTTATGAACAATTTCATTCTCTTCAATTCTGTTGATAAACGACTTGACGCAGTGAATTCGGATTTTTGAACTTTCAACTCTGTCTATGATCTTCAAACACAACCCGGGGCGATTTGAGCTCTCGATCCTCGACCTGTTTTCTACCAAGAAGTCCTACTGTGAACGTCCTTACTTCTTCCTCTATCTACCTTATTCAACCATCAATAATTAAGTTAATATATTTTATATGTTATTGCTAAGTCTTAGTCTGTCTCTGTTGGACGAGGCAAGCACATACTTGCTCATCTTCATCTTGTGTATTCACTTGGCCTCGTCAAGTTGGGGAAACCAGAATGAACCACAACAAGACAGCGGCACAAAGTACGAGAGCGCGTGGTAGTAAAAGTTTTGGTAAAATAAGTAGTTGGCGTGATGCTCTGACAAGAAAAACTCAGCTAACTCTACAAACAATAACGAAGCCGCGCAAATAGTCGGCTGCAGTTCTTTGTTGGTCTAGAACACAAACAAGAGAAAACACACACAAGCAAGCACTCACAGACAACGACAAAGAACAGCGCGCCGAAGAATAAATAAAAAAAAAACTGCATGCGCTGTGCCCTCTTGATGTAGCAAGCAGCGCCAGGACCGGTTTTCAAGAAACAACGCGAAAAAGCGCCACACTCCTGTCGATCGGAGATGGCCGCTGCGATATATGAACAGCCAAAAGAAAAGCCAGCCGCGCAAAAAAAAAACTCCCGCCCGGACTCTTTCTCTAGGCGCGGAAGTCAAGCCGGCCCCCGGGAGTCACGGCGAGGCCCATCAACGTAGCGGAGAAACTGCCCGCCCCCAAGGCGGCCCTCCTTCAAACAAGTCAAGCCAGCGCCACGACCCGCAGGGAGCGACAGCGGGCCGGCGCTAGCTCCGCGCAGCCTGCCTGCGTGAGATCGATGGCGCGCCTCGCTTTTCATTGGATTGCGCCACGTCTACCACCCTGCCCCCCGCCATGTCCATCCCTGCCAGCCGCGCGCAGCCTCTCTTAGCACTCCAGCCTCCTCCGCAAGCTCCCCCCCCTCATTAGCCAGTACGCCAGACAGCTCCACCAACAATAAAAACAACAACACCAATGGGCGGCGGCGTCGCTTGCGTTGTCCACTCTCTTCCCTTGCAGCTCACAGCGCGGCGCAGGTTTCCTATCGTTGGCGCAGGCGGGTCAATGCATAAGCCAGGCCAAAGCTGGCGGCAGTGGCACGTAAGCGCCTGCCCCGTACGTAGGGAAGGCCACGCCGCTCGCGTCGATGGGCCGCAGGCTCAAGGCTGCTGGACTCTACGACAGTCCTGCGCGCCCGTGCGTAGTCCTTTGCGTGCCCCAGGCCCTGCCCCAGATGCGTTCGCCAGTTCTTTCAGAGTGTACCGAGGGCCAAGCACTGCGATGGCGGTGCTTGTGTTAGCCGCGAGATTCCGAACTCTGCTCCTGCATCGTCGTCACCCCGTTCTTTTTTGTGGAGCCCACGCCGTAGTTGTCTGAACTCCTAGCGGAGTCCTCTGGCTCGCTGGAGTCCTGCCCCTTGGTGTGAGGAGTGGCAAAAGCCTGCCGCTGCAGTTTGAGCAGAAGCAGATCGCACCCGAGGCGGTGCCATTTGGTCGCACGCCTGCTGTGTGGCTGCTCCTTTCAGATTCGTGACGAGGGGGCGGGCCTTCCAGGATGCCTTCGCCTGCGCGTTCGTGTCCCAGCTCGTTAGGGAGCTTGATGCCGATCATGGAACGCCCAGGATTCGTTGCATTCTTCTCGCTTGATGTTCTGCGATGGGAGGCGACCCATTTCGGCCAGGTAGAGAGGGGCCTCTGAGGACATTTTGAGGACTTTGATCGCCGTGGCATTGTCCTGATGATGTGCCCATCCCTTGGCTGCGCCTGGGCGCGGCTGAGCGACCTCACGAAGCGGCTGGCTGGGTCCTCTTCCTCTATGCAGTCCGCAGTCTGAAGGCCACGCCCCTCGCAACGACTTGGCTGCTGCGTCGATTGGGTCCTCGTCACGCCAGCGCTTGCGACCGACGAGCCCAAGAGCGCTGCGCCGCCTGCCTTTTCCAAGGCCTGCGCCTGGTTGCCGCTCGGCTTCTCTCGCTCGAGTGTCAGAAACTGCCCCAGCCAGCGCGCATAGCTGGAGTGGACATGCTTGCTTGCTCCCTGGCCGGCGGCTCCGCTAGTACGTAGAGCAGGACGAGCTCGAAGCCGAGGAGGCAGACACGTCGCCGCCTACCGTGCTGCATTCTGACAACGCTGCCGAGGTCACCCGGCTGAAGCTCTCGGCCCTTCTATGGTGTTAATCTCGAAGCCGTCAAATAATGAAGACGCCACCGCCCTGATGTAGGTGCGTCATGATCGGCGTCTCGATGTCCCTACTAGAGGCCGCATGCCCTCGAGGCTCGTCAACTGTGCTCGCACGCCAGCACTCACCGACATCGCCGGCATAGATCCCATCCCACTCAGCAGGCCCCCGCCTCCTTTTTGAGCCAGTTCGGCCCTTTGATCATAAAAAATCCCAAGCCGCCCACATAAGCGCGCCAAGCCTATGAAAAGCTTCGCCATTTCCAGCTTCCCCGCGGCGGGCTCGCCCGTCTCTGTCTTCACAGCCGTCGCAGTAGCAGCCGGGGCCTTTCTCCACTATCGCCCTCAGCTCCCTCGGGATGGGTTTGCCGGTGACGGTGTTCGCCAGATGGGTCAACTGAAGGACGGGGGGCGACGAGCTCTTCCAGCATCGAATCCGGGCCGGCGGGGTTGGCGTGCTAGCTTGCCTCCCCGCAGAAGCTTATCGCGCTGCTCGAGCAAGTGCCCCAGAGCTTCCCCTCCTTGTGCAGCAGTTGATTCTTCCTCGTGCACATCCTTCCTGTTCAAGTTCATTCTGATACTGATTCCATCCATATCCAAGAAAATTAAATAACACATAGAGATAGAGATAGACGCTGCACTGAGTGTATAAGTACTACCTCAGAAGACGGCGCATTCCAGTAGCACACGTTTTCGACTGTAAGCGTCAACAGGCCCTGTGGCGATGTCGGTACAAGGTCACCAAAAATCAAAGCTCTTTCCTGCTCCTTCCCAGACGCAGAGCAGGTAGTAGTCGTTTGATGTTCGTGATACATGTCAGAACGTGAAGAAGATGATGCCGCTACAGTAGCCGATCGATTGTTATGATTGGTCTGATGTTGTGTCGCAACATCAACAGGAACAGCATTACTAGTACGCCTATCATTTTGAAGATTCCTCGTCCTTCTGCTTCTTCCCTTGTTCAACATTGATGTGGCTGCGCTGTCGGTTCCTGGCGCAGTGTCCGACGTTGTTTGTTCGTACATGTGCATCAGCGTGTGCTTGTTCTTGACAACAAAAGCAGCTTCAACTCCATCACGGGGTGGCCGGGTTGCTTTAGCACTGCGCAACTTCTCTTCTTGATGTTCATCTCCATCTTCGACCGCATCTTGCTCGTGTCCATCAACACCATCAGAGACGAGATTCCTTCTAGTATATCTCGCTAATGTCCTCCTATTTTTGGTTCGACATCGACCCTTGTTGCCACGTCGTTTTCGTTGAAAAATTTCAGGCAGACGAGCTGCAGCTTCGTTTTCCTGTTGTGTAGGATCACGGAATGTTAAACTGAAAAAGAAACCAAGAAATCGATGACATGGCAGATTGAGATTGACATTGACATGGCATTGAAATTTTTTACATGAGTTAGGTACTGAGAGGTGGTGAAAAGTACTCGTATTGGATTTCACCCAGTAACAACAATTCTATCAAAGAAAAGTAGAGACAAATAGTAGTAGTACGAATCTTGGCATCAAATCGATCCCATTATCGTCTTGAAATCGAACGATCGAGTCTTGACCGACAAAGACTCCGGGAAAAAAGGGCGCTCCCTGTCGCTGACGGCGATTTAGTGGCCGCTGTGCTGGTCCCTGCCCTCGTGTTGTAGTACGCATTGAAGAAGAAGATGGCCCATTTTGACAAGTAGAGTCATATCTCGGCTCCATGTATGAAGCCCAATCTTCACCACGAAAGTTTCCTGCAACATCGTGTCTACATTGCTCACGACCAATCTGACCAACATCTTGTGCTTTTATCATCTTCATCTCCTGTTGCAAGGGAGACGTACCACTAGAATGTTGCTGTGCACCTTGTTTGGCTCTGGTTTCTAATCGCGACCAAGTCCGATGTCGATCTGAGTCTGAAACTGCTTGATGCTTCACGGAAATAGATTTGACACTTTTTGAGTCTGGAGGCGTTCTCCAGATCGTTCCCAAAGATGTAACTGCACGATCACGGGCGTGACAACCTTCATGAAGATTCTGAAAAAGTAGAGCTCAAAACGTTTCATTTCTTGCGTACATTTCGTGTGGCAATCTACTTCCTGACAAGGAAAGTATAAGGAGAAATGACTTGCAGCGATGAATCGTAAGTATTGAGCCGTAAAAAGCAGTGGTTTCGATCGTACTGCTGTTGACCACCGTGTCGTTCTCGTTGGTGATGTTCTTCTACTACTTCATGTTGTTGCCTGTGATGTTGGTATTCAGCTTGAGGCATCTTGCTCCTCTGTGATCCTCGGTTTCTGCTAGTGCGATTTTGATTTTTATCTACCCGTCCGTGACCGTGTTGCTGATGCTTTTCTTCTTCTTCATATAACTTCTGCTGGATACGCGTGCAGGAGAGATATCCATAATCTGTTGACCACTCCTCGTTCTCGTACGGCAGAATCTTCGAATTCTGTCTCATCTGTTCGTTGTTGTATCCTCGATTATTACTAGGCCCACTACACCATCTTCCTGAAGCTCCTCTTTCTTGTGGCGGCATCTTATCATTAGGCCCACTATACCATGCTCCTGGAGCAGTAGCGCGAGGTCCTCCATTATCACTAGGCCCACCATACCATGCTCCTGAAGCACCAGTGCGTGGTGGAGGTGGCGGAGGCGGGAGTTTATTTGGTATTGATGCTGTGAAAGAGCTAGATGAAGATGCACTGCGACGTCCTTGATAATTCAAAATTTGATGATAGTCCTCCTCGCTTCCTACAATTCCCTTTCCCATCCCCTTCCTTGCTCTTTGTTGGCCAATAAAGTGCTGCTGCTCCTGCAGTCCTCTATGTCTGTCATTGATGTCCTGGACGATCGAGTCAGCGCGATCCATCCAGCACGCGGAAGATCGATTACTAGCAGGGATGTTCATGTTGATACGGAGGTCCATTGAAGAAGAAGCAGAAGAAGACACAGTATTAACAGGTTGCACCATATCGATGGAGGTCTGTCGTTTTTCCTGTTCGTACTCGTAGGAAAAACTACTACAACGATTTTGATGTTGTTGGGGAACCTCCTTTAAAGCTACCACCTGACTACTCGCATGAGCATTTGTTCGCGCACCTCCTGCTTGTGCTTCTAAAGCTTGTTTTGCCATAATCGCAGCGAGTCGCAGTTCGCTTTGGTGGTCGAGTCGTTGCGCTTCCTTCATGAGGTTTCTTGGAAAGTACCCAGCAGATTCGCCAGAAATTGTTGGTGGACGAGGAGGCTCTGCTTGCGAGGATAACTGATTCTGCGCTATGCATGGGACAAAAGCAGGCGCGTCTGCAGATAGCTCCGTTGATATAGAAGATCCTCCCGTTCTTGATGCGGTTGTCGTCGTAGCAGGCGGAGGTGGGGGCAAGGGAAGGCTCGTGGCGCCTTTCAGACTAGGAACTGTGTTCGTCATAGTGCCTTTAGAGGATGATATCGATGGCGGTTGAAAACTGGTCAGCACGCTGTGATCAAACTCGTCGTAGGCTGATTGATCTCCTGTAGCCTTTCCCTGAGCGCCCTTCGGCATGCTATTTCCTTTACGGTAACAACGAGCGCCATCGCATCTTTTGCCTTTTTTTCCAGACGTCGACATGTCCGTTTTAGCGCCATCATGATCCCCCTTACTTCTTGAAGAAGTAGAACTTCTACAGGGACCTACAACTACAGCATCAGTCTGTATTGTAGTTTCTCGATCCTGACGTTGACCATGACCACGACCTTGACCTTTAATATTACAATTATTGGAGAAAGAAAAAGTACTTCTACTACTGCAAGAACTGCCAGAACAAGCACTACTACTACGGCCTTCCACTACCCAGGCACAAGAACATCCTAGACGCACTTGACGGTAGCTAGGTGTCCATGACTGACCTCTTCTCCACGGATCTCCATATTCTTGACCTCCTCGTCTAGGTGAGGACTCATCTTCTGGTCCTGGGCTCCCGACTTTTATGATGTCTAATGCTTCTTCCTGGCTGATCGTTAAGTAATCTCCAGATCGCTGCGGCTGTGACGAGCCACCTCCTACGACTCCCTTTGTCTTCTCCACAAGATGCTTCTTCAGAGTCCTCAGACGTTCGTAATTTCGATTTCCACCACGTGTGTTGTCGTTGAAGGTACTATTGGTATCCCTAACCCTATCCCTCCTGTTGCTGGTACTAATATACCTTTCAGTTGTGATGCCTATATCCTCCAAGGCCTGCAATGAGCAGAGTTCTTCGCCTGCTGCCACTAGCTCAGCAGAAAGAGACTTCTTCCTCTTGGATAGAGGCCCTGCTCGACCATATCTGGGTGGACTCCAGAAGATAAAGTCGGCGCGTCGAAGCAATATCTCACGTTTACTCGTGCCTTTGAGGTTGAGGAGACTATGAAAGGAAAAAGTGTACTCATTCCAATACTCAGAAAGTTAGCTACTTTTCTACTTAAAATTTAGTAGCTTAGCTAATTCCATGAGGGTCAATGAGTGCGCTTTTTACTGTCATAAAGACCAGAATGTGGTGATTTTGATGCCGTGGTACTAGTCGCTTGAGGTTGACCCGGAGTGCTGGAGCTGGTGCTAGAAGATGATAGGTTGTTAAAACAAGTGCTTGAAGTTTTTGTTTTTGAGGGCTCGTCCTCGTTCACTTCACTCTGATCGCAAGAAGCTTTATCCGTAAACGACCCAAACTTCTTGCTAGATTTCTCTTGTGCGCATGTTGTCTTATCGTTTTCGGGACGACCGCGGAGGATTTTTGAAGTGCCGCAATCTTCCTCATCATCCGATTCGTCTGGACAAGTTTGGATCACTTGCGTTGAAGAAGCACCTGGCTCAGCCCCCGCCTGGAGAACAAGATGATTTTCCCGGAAAAAAGTTTGTGCTTTTTTCAACATTGATCCATCCTCTTGTTCCATAATACCAGGCTTGACACCCGCTCCACCCCCACCCTGTTGACGAACGTTGTTGTACTGCTGGTTCTCATCTACACGTGCATTACCCCTGATCGTCGAAAAAGACGGCATGCGGCCAAACGAAGACTCCCAGGATGTTCCGGCAGAAGTCTTTGTATCCGTCAATTGTTCTCTGGATTTGTGTTGAGATATGCAGTCTAGTTGTGGTTTTATTGCTCCTGGCCATTGACTAGTACAGGAACCGAAAGAACCTGGTCCACCGACTGTACTTATCCCCGCGTCTGCAGAGCCACGACTCGTTGTGGCAGTTGTGTTGCTGTTGCGATGGTCTGGGAGCATCAAAATGCTTCGTCCTGGGTCTGCGTAAGAATGATTTCCCATAAAATTCTGCTGCCGAAGACTTCTAGTAAAAGAAGAAGCTCCTCCAGTAGAATTGTGTTGCGCTGTTGCACCTGACACCCCCGCCTGTTGGTTCATCACCGGAAAACTTGGCGACGATGAAATTTGTTGGATATTAGAAGAGACTCCCCGGGCCCGGGTGCCCCGGGAGACGTTAAGGAAGGGAAAAGGATACTTTAGGGACGTGGGCGGGGGTGAATGGTTTCACAAGGTGAAACGGGCGCCCGAAGTGCGCGCACTCCCCTCCGCGTTGCGGGCAACCGATTCCCCTTGAAAATGTGGCAGCGCTGCCACCCCCGCCTGTTGGTTCATCACCGGAAAACTTGGCGACGATGAATTACTTGGCGACGATGGTTCATCACCGGAAAACTTGTTGGATATTTTAAGTTTTCGAATAGTTAAGTTTCCATGTTGAGGTGCACGTGCACGTTTAGCCTTAGTACTAACCGAGTTGCCCAAGAACACCATGTTCGGATTGCTCAGAGACTGCGCCTGTTCTTGATTCCGAACAAGTTCATGCTGAAGTTGCTGTAATTGCAGTTGCTGTGCCAAGTTTTCATAGATTGCCATGGAATTGGTACTCAGGTTATTAGTCCTAGACATCTGCCGCGGCAATGCGTTGAGATTGGTGCCGCTACTGGGAAGATGGTTACACGTCGTAACCAGATCATTGTTGATGCTGAGGTTGCTACCCCAACTAGAACTAACCTGGTTAGGACCACTTAGCGCGATGTTGTTGTGGAGGTTGCTACCGATACTGCTAGCAGCAGTACTAGTCCTTGGCATCTCTTGTTGTTGAACTTGAACTTGTTGATTCTGATTGTTCAGAAGATCAAGATTACTACTACCAGAAGTGCTAGTTCTCAGCCCGTTGCAAAAGGATGAAATGGAGTTCGAGCTGAAAAAAGCACCAACATCGCTTGCAGCGGCAGTCGCGCCAGCAGGGGTGGGAGACGCAAAGGGAGCTGGAAATGAATGGAGCCAAGGATAAGTTTAAGTTAGTCGTCGGGAAAATCTTCAGCACGCAGGGAACAAAATACATAGATATTTATACCTCAAACAATCTTCAAATTATCTTTTTTAAATTCTGTGTTGTCCACGACCAGCATCATAAAAACGAAGCACAGCTGCCATGTTGCCCTGTATTCGCAAGGAGAGACCCAGAGGAACCGCGAAAATCCATCCTGTCGTTCCTATTCGATGAAGACAAGGTTGAGCCGACTGAGTTGTAACTCGGAACCGAATGCAATACTTTTGAAAGAAGCATATTGGATGTCATACCTGATGAACCGAGACTAGCGGCACTTGGATGACCGCTCAAGGAATTGTGCTGATGCTGCTGAGTGGGATGTCTGGAATTGCTCTCGTCTGCCACGTTCTGGGTAAACTGACCTCCACTCCCTTGTAGAACTAGGCTAGCATTTTGATCCTGCTGGTGCAGCATTTGTTGAATAGCCAATAGGTTGATGTTGGACGAGCTGCTACACGTAGAAGCATTACTGTTTAATAACATCGACGTTCGCTGATCTTCCAGTGAAGCTGATACTGGCAGAATGTTTTGGTTCTGACACGAGGAGTTGAATGCGCCTGAAGACACGGTCCGATTGTTAGTCTGCTCGGTCATAATATGTTGTACTTGTTGTGCTTGTGATGATCCGCAAGAGTTGAAAGTCAGCCCTGGACCTCCCAAGTTCGCAAGTTGCAACATATTGTTGCTCGAGTTCATCTTAGAAGTTTAGAGTAGAATCTTTTACTGATTGATTCAGGTCTCCACATAGAGGTTAAGACCCCGCTGATCTTGTCTCGTAGAAGCCTTAATAATAATACTCGTCGTGCTCATCATACTGCCACTGCTGTGCGCTGTGTGCCGACTGGCACTTGCTAGAAGCTGCGGGATGCTAGTCGTAGAGGCGTAAAGGTTCTGCTCTGAAGATAGAGTCGCAAAGGATTGACAAGATTGGTACTGTTGCAGAAGCGACTGATGTGTCTGATGTTGCTGTAGGCCTGTCGCTCCGACTCCACTAGCACTACCGCTACCTGGTGCTGCTGCTGCATTCAAATTCATCTGATCGTCGGGATTCATCTGATTCATTTTTATGGCTATATCTTGTTGAATCCAATCCTGCGAGAGGGATGCCCTACCACCCATACCCGGACCAAACATCGACAAACCGCCCATCGGTCCGCCGGTGCTCAATCTGTCAGGATGTTGTTGAAATATAGGTGATCAATTCGAATTCCACCTTTTGTCTATATCTATTTAGACAGAACAAAATCTGTTAATTTTTAGCAAGATGGAACTTATCGCCTAGTTCGTTGTATACACAACGCGAAAAGATGAATAACTTACTAGAGGACTGTAACAAGTTGTGAAGAAAGTGTTGACTGAAAAGTACCCAGCTACTTGTTTCTGTTGCGCCTGCTGCATGATTAGCCTTTGCTGCGGGAGTAGTTCAGAGGTCGCGTCGGAAGTAGCACCTACCTTTCGATTTTCCGGCGACATCGAACAAAAAAACTCATCAATCGTTCTGGGAGTGCTTCCGCGCTCATCATGTTCTTCATCTTCAACATCATCACACAGACTATCATCTTCAAAATTTCGAGTAGCGTGTTCCTCTTGATACTCATAGCCTCCCCCATACCCGCCATCCAAATGCCGACGTCGGAATGTAGGCCTCACCGGTGCCGACGCACAGCTTGGGGGACCAGCACTTGTGCTACGACGTGGCCACGCGCGTGCTGACAAGGAAGACGCGTTCAGCAGTGTAGTTGGACTGTAGTTGTCACCGTCTTGTTGCTCTGAAGATGCTTTTTGGATTCGTTCCGCCGGAGTGTTCGTACTAGTGGCAGGCACCATCTTGGCTTTGACTTTGTGGGCGTTTCTTTTAAAGGGTAAGTGCTCGACGTGCACGTGCGCTGGAGGATGACGCAAATCTTTCCGCCCGCGCGCTGTTCGTCTTGTTCTAAATAATATTCATTTTGTCTGTCGATGTCGATGTTGAAAAAAAACTTCTGTGTGTTTGGTATAATTGGACGTACTAGTTGTAGAAGTCCGCAGCTGCTGTTTCACAAGAAGAATGAAAAATAATGCGGCGAACTAAAGTACTAGTAGGTCTGGATCTGGTGTTCATTCCAGAAAAACAAAGTGTCGTTTTATCACTCGACCGCGACGGCGACGGGCAACCTCGATAAAATGTAGCTCCGACAGTCTGTCACTGTCAGCCTTCGTCGTATAGAAATGCACGTCGTGTGGAGTACTCACTAGCTCCAGCTCGGTTCTTCGTCGGAGGGAATTGACGTCGACAGATGGCACCGGGAGAGAAGCTCTCCAGCACAGGCTTCACGAAGAGAATAACGACAAGTCGAGCTAGAAGACTAAGACAGCTAAGAGACATGAATTTGAATATGAAGATCGCGGGCCTCTTCCAAAAGAAAGCAGGAAGGCCTGAATATATCAAAAATTTTACGATTCATTTCAGGAGGTTAGAATACCTGTATCTATCTACTAGATAGATACATCATTAGATAGTATCTAGCGTTTAGTTTTAGGCCGCGTCGACTACGAGTACTAGCCTTCATCTTCAACAGCACGTCGTTGTCGTATACTGGAGATGGAGTGGCCACTCTATTCAAAAGTCACTGTTCTGTCACAATTTAGCTCGCTCGTCATATCTTCTGAAGACATGATCGGTTCAAGCTTGTTGATGCTTATTTTATGTCAAGCTCTCCTTCTATTTTTCTTTTTCTAGAACAAAACCTCAAGTGCTCTATCAGGGTTCTTAGCGCTGATAGAGGAGAAACACATGGACATCGACATGATGTCCGACAGAACAATAAACACGGTACTTTTAGGGACGTTATACGTGGCAATTCTTGACATGGGTTAATTCCTCAAGTAGATAGTGAGTGTTAGGGCGCCCCCTAGGTGTAAAAACTACTACACCGACTAAGAAGACACATACACGATCCATCTCTTACATTACCTGGTGGTCTTGGCCTAAGAAAACGGTCAAGAAAGTAGAAGGGAGATGATTAGTGGGATCCACAACTATCACTTCACTAATTCGAGTAGTTAAAAGGTTCCTTCGTGTACTTATCAGTCCAAAATTTACAGTGACTCTCACGAAACATCCATGGATAGGTCGTAGCGGCATTTTCCTTCACGTGTCCCGTATTGTCTCCTCCGCATCGAATTAGGGTGAAAGGCTTACTCTTCTTTGATACATCATGACCGTTCTCTGTAGCATCCTCCTCTTCCACTCGTTCCATCTTGAAGATCCCACAAGGTGCAAAGGGTCCTGTGCCTTCTGGGAGATTGCCGATCTCGCATAGATGTCCTACTAGAGCGACGGAAGCAGCGTGCGAATACATCACGGTGGTTGTACCGCAGGGATTAGAGGAGAAAAGGGAAACATACAAGAATGCCAGTCAGATTGTGGCTAAGTGAAGGAGAGGACATCCGGGGCATTATTATGGCCATGAAAGAAGGTTCTTCTTCTTGGAGCGTCGAGAGCGAGATGGAACTAAAAAAAGATCATGATGACTGTGATGACTATGACACAACAAGAAATTTAGTTCGACTCATAAAGAATTCCGAATCCGTATCCTTGATCATTTCGGCAAATTTGCGCAAGCGTTCCATATAGGGTTCTGGGTAGCCCTCGCATTCTGGAGGAGAAAACCCCTCCTTCGCTAGTTCGGCATCTCCAAAATCACAGAAACTCCAGTCTGCACGCTTGCTCTTAGCTTTAGTGGACGTAGACGTAGAGGTAGATGTGGATGATGTCTGTTCTATCTTCCTAACTTTCATATGCCGATGCGTTGAAGAAACGTCGAAGTCGGTGTGTGCGAAAAAAGCCTTGTATTGGGTGTCGAGATAGGGGAACACGGCAAAACGCTCACTAGGTTCTTGTAGGGGCATGCCAGGGACGTGAGTCGTTTCGGCAAGTCCAGGTTCGACGCAGAGTCGAGGAGAGAAGAGATGAAAGGGGGCAGGTGTCGAATGTGCTTGATTGGTACAACTGTCGTTCTTGTTGAAAGTGATACGACGGTGGAATCAAGAGCACTATTAAGTGAAAGAATTGGAGTCCTGCAGCAGCATGTGCATTCATATCTGGGTTAGAAGATCTCGATGGGGTAAGACGAGACGCAGACCTGATGCAAATTACTTCGAGCTTCACCGGTAAGGCCTAATTTCATGAACTTTTTGGCCCTGAACAACAATTTGCAAGTGGAGCTAGAGCCGGGATGAGAACACTCCGCTTGAACCGGTGAAAGAGGAAGATTAGTTTTGGAAGCTGCTCTCTGGGGCTGCTTCCTTCATCTGCGTTCCTTGGAACCAAAGAATAAACTCGTCCTACATTACACACATATGGATGCCACAATATTTTAGAACTCAAGGGTCAAGAAAGACATCCGGAAACCATCGGGAGAACAATAAAAGATGCAAGTTCAGCGCAATAACTTCGTTAATCAAGAAATAATGATGAAAGAGAAATTATGACAACAGCTAAATAATCGGAAAGGCAACACGCACGACCACTATGACATACATATTTAACACGAACAAGAAGATCAAGGCAAAATCTCATCTGGGTGATCAACCGCAAAGTTAATATCCCACGAAGTATAATCCGTGATCGTATTCGGGTCGAAGTCGGTAAACGCCTGATTCCTGGTAGCTCGCAGGATGTCAGCCGTACAAATGTCATACTCGAGGAGAGTATTCCGGACGGTAGAGGCCGCCACCTCGCGGACTTCCTGCATATGAGCACGATACGCAGCAAAGAATAATTGCCAAAAACCACGAGCCGCAACGCAGAGCAAAACCACTAAGACGTACATTTGAAGGGGAAAACCTTCCCGGAGAAGCTCACCGTGTGAGCTACTATTTGCGACGCCGAAGCAGGCCATTTTCGTGGTGTCAATCCTTAGTCGAGAGAAAAATTTTAGCTCAATGAATATCTAGATGGTAAACCGAGTAGAACGCGAAAAGGAACCCAAGCTCAAGTTCAGTTCAAGAATACAGCCTAATCTTCAGAAAATTACTCAGTCACTATCTAATTCAAGATCAGCGTCGTATTCTAAATCAAGATCGTCAATGTCCCCCTCACTATCAGAAATCAATTCAAGCGCTTCTTCTTGCACTTGTGGCAACTGTTTACGTGCTGCCGCCAGCATTCCTGAAGTCTCTACTTTACCCAAACTAACATACCTCTTCCAAGCATCGGAATTACTACTCCAACTACCTGCAAACAGAATTTCTTGCAAACTACCGCCACAAAGAGCAATCTCACTAGCACCGCCTTTCCTGAAGGAGTGCGTCCCGAAGGACCCCTTCAGCTTCAACAAATGCGCACACCGCTTCACAACGGCTAACACAGTCTTGTATTCAAACGTTGGGAACAACAAAAACCCACCAGCTCTTGCTTTTACAAATTTCGACCACAACACGCAAAAAGGGCAGAAGTCCCTGGCCCAAATTATTTTCCGCTCGACCACAGGGGGAGCGTTAGAAGAAGAACTAGAACTGGGGCAGTTGACTGAGAAGCCCGCACACGTACAAGCTCGGGACACTACATCTCCTTCGAGCCGATTCTTGCGAGTACGGAATCTGATAAACACCAACTTCTTTTCTTCGTCGGCCCAAATGGCACTTTCGGATTGAAGCTTAGATAAACGATCAGAGTCCTTGGCTAACCTTGACTTTCTCAAAACAAGCCCTTCATCGCCGCAGCGAAGTAAAAAGATCCAACAGAAGCTAAAAAGGTACTTGTATGACAAAGGCAACTTCTCTAAAGCCAGTAACCGATTAAGGTCAGCCCCTGAAAAAGGATCCTTCGCCTTGGAAAGGGGCTGGTGGCGCTTAATGCCGCGCGAAATGTTGGAAGACTCAACTTCCGGAAACGGAACCTTCAACACCAAGGAAACCTTCTTAAGTGCTGCACGCGCACTTCCCATAGTACCAGCCGTACGGTACAAGCCGAGGAAGTCCTCAACCTTCGAGGAGGTCAGCGGAAAGGGTTTTTCACCTCGACACGTGCACATTTCTAAAAAAGATTTGAAATAGCTGAAATAGCTACTCCAATCTTTCAGCGACTCATTCTTCAAAAAAGAAGTATTCGAAGATAAAGCTTGGCGCGCCCGAACCGGCCCCAACGAAGCTAACACCTTCAACTTATCAGATGCGGTCTTTCCCTGGTCAAAAGCTGAGCATTTCTGTAAGGACACAAGCTGCTTGAACCTCTCAAAAATGACCCTATTGCCCGGTGCACTCAAAACTTGTTCTGGTGACAAAACTAAATTATGAGAACGCGCGATGACATCTGCATGCCTGACACTATGCAAAAGACCTCCTACAACTCGTATGTTACTTGAAGAAGCAGAACTACTACTACTCGAAACTGCACGACTAACCATCGATGAATATGGGCCACACCTTGCAGAATTGTCGCGAAAACATGAATGAGAGCTACTGACTGAGATAGTGGAGAACCCTACACCTGAAAAATTTGAAACATAGGAAGAACTTCCTATATTCGGCACTTCACTACCTACTACAACTTGATTAGAAGAATGGCCAGGCGTCTGAGGCAAAGCCCCAGCCGACCTGTTAGCAACCTGCTGATACATCCACATTTCTCCTGGACACAAATCAAAACTATATTATATATGAATTCAAAAACCATCGAAGAGGACAAATCTAAATTATCTAAATATTATGATAAAAGAAAATTTCCAAAACCTAAATCAACCCATCACGCAATAACTCAGCACACCCGGAGCTTCCTAAACTTGAGAATGAAAGGGGGACGAATGTGAATAATTCTACACCAACCATGACTTTCTCTTAAAAAATTTTCTTTTTAAACAACACAACATGCAACGAGTCCTCAAGTAAACGTGCTAGACAACTGCCCGAGGGCATAACCGACTACCACGATACGATCACACTACCACGATCCGAACGAAGAATAACGACACTTCGACATATTAACCCGTAGTCGGGAAGTCGGCGTCAATATCCCAATCTTTAAGTCCAATAGTGGCATACGCCTTCATTGATTCAGCGACAGCACGAGTAGGAGGGAGCTCATGTTTAAATTTACAATTCTCATCACCACAGTTGTCACCTCGAGCACCCTGCATGTTCAGGTATCTGAAACAGTAACGATCACTCTTTCCTTTTCCTTTGCCCTTCTCCCGCGAGGGAGTGCCGTAGGGACTCGGGCGCTCCTTCTGCGGAGTCGAAAAAGTAAAGCTCTTCAATTTCGCTTCAAGGGCCGAATTCAGCTTGTCGGTCAAGGCGCTGTTGGTGTAATGAAGTTTCATGTTGATCCTGAATCAGGCGCGCTTGAAAGGAAGCCAGTTCTTCTCTTCGAATTTGTGAGTATCTGAATGGCGATACGACACCAGTCAACGACGATGAGTACAATCGGGAGAAAAACCATCCTTAAACTTCGACCAAAAGTCCGACAGGAAAAAAATTTGACACAGCAAGACAAAAAACAACGAGATTCTCGAAAACAACTCTAAAAAAAAAGCAACTACCTGCGAACATACATCTCGATAGCCTCGGTAAATCCGACCTGGAAGAACGTCACAACCCGGTCATAATAACCCATGTTCGCGACCATGCCATTACCAGCCAAACGAGCCAGATTCTTGGTATAGACATCAGCCACCGCGGACTTGCGCACGTCCTTCTCACAAGATGCCAGCGTTTTCGACGCGAAAGTCTAAAGAGAATTTAGAAGATATAAGGGGAAGTAAATTTCTACAACAATTCTGAACATCGTCATACTGTCGAACTTTCTGACGAGAAAAGTCCTTGACATTTCTTTCTTAAACATAAATCTAAACTAAATCCCAAAAAGAAAAACCAATAAGATGGCACTACCTGAAGGAGATCAGAGACGCACTTCTGCGCCGTCAAAATAGCCTGGAGTTGGACCTGCGCAGGCTGAGCAACTGCCCCTTCAACATCCGGATCAGCCGGAACCGGCGGGATGTAACCCCCGAGAAGAACGACACACGCACAATCTTTGATCACCATCTCCATCACTTTGTCCGCCACGACCATGGGCCGCTCATGAAGCGAACCCATGCGACAAGAACGCTCACAATCCGACACCTCCTTTTCGGAAATTGTGCTCACAATGACGCCGAACTGGGTCTGCAGAATGTTCTTAATCGTGCGCACCTAATGGGGCAAATGAGAAAACATCAAAGAAAATTTCTTCTTCCTAATTTCTCACAAGAGGGGGTGAAAGGAATTTCAGATCCAAATTTTCATCAAACCTAAATTTTCTAAATTAAAGAATAGAAGTCACCGTATCCGAAAGAAGAGAAAAGTCTTACAACTGACCAAAAAGAACTGAAATTCCACCTTTAACTGGTCCGGCCGATCTTGGTTCATGTCCTCGACGAGGACGGCAAAAGCCTCTTGAGCATTCGGATTGTTCAACGCCATTTTCCTAGATTACCGGTTCTTGAACGAACAAAATTTTAACCAAGTGACAGCTAAATACTTTCTCTTAAGCTCCGAGTCCTAACTTCTCCTAGAGCTTCTTAATCATGAACCAAATTTAACAAACCCACTTCAAGCCAAGCATCCCTCAATTCACCAGCGACAACTCCACTCAACACTCTTCAACGCGCTCATTCAAACCTTCTTCCGAATCCAAAATCCACCAGCCGTTCGCTGATCTCAGCGCTTGGCACAAAGGGAGGGCCAATTAAAAGCAAAAGAGACTATCACGCAAAATCTACCATCTCACCCATGTTTACTGTTCAAGTTCAAAATTTTCCGTATTTAACAAAATGTCAGAATGTGGAATATCAAGAGCGAGCAATTTAGCAACCTCTTTCTCTACATCTTCGCCTAGCTCGTCCCTGACGCAGTCAAAATTATCAATAAGAAGCTTCTCGAGCTTCTCTTTCGTTGGCAAATCTGCTATATTGAATTCACTGGGCACGCGCCCAAGCAAAGAAGAGATGGAGTGCTTGCTAGCAAAATCCCAATACATAAACGCCGCTGCCGCCATATGCGGCCGCCCGCTATTCATCCGGATCAATGTACCCTGTGCACTGCAGTTATCAATAAGAACTTCAATCTTACTATTACTCAACAAATCCTTCCACAACCACAACGAGACTATAGGCGCGCACGCCTCCAAAAAATTTATAGGATACTTTGCAATTTTACTGTACAACATCTGTTCATCAACACAAAATTTCCAATATCTAACACGCCCCAAAGATGTCTTACATTCTGATACATTAAACAAATCGACCAAAACGCCGGCAATAACCCCACGCCCCCTTCGCCAGCTGGCATCTGTGTAAACTATGTACCGGACGGGGGAAACACAAAGAACTCTAGGTGGAATACTATGCAAAAAACCTATACAAGCCTTCATACTCAGGCGTAAACATTTATGAACTGACACGTCACTGTGCAACTGAAACATTCGCACCATAATGGGCCTCAAAATTGGATGAAGACGCCGATCGCACAAACTGCAGAAAGCAAACGACAATCTGCCGTATAAAATTGCAGCATCTGCTTGCGTGAGAACGTCAGCCTCAATGTGCTTCTCCAAAGATTTAATATATTCTGCTTTCCTGTCTACCGAAACTTCCAACGACGGCCTTCCTATGAGATTAAAAATGAGGCCTAACAAAGTAACTGAGGAACTCGAAACGTCAACCTTCTCAGCCTTATAACCCCAACCTAAGCGATCAAGAAGATTACAGATGGCTGCTGCGGCTGGCGCACCTAACTTGTAGGGAACAAACGAGTGGAAATCGTCAATAAAGACCGAATTAGGGATAGAGAAAAGCCCTCTGATGCAACTTGACAAAAGTAAAGCTATACGCACCCAAACAACCACACTGTGGGTGTTCCCGAAGACGAGAGTCGCGGATTCAAACCCATACCACTTCCCGTCATCCGGGCAAAACACGGCCACCCAGTTAGCAAACAAATGATCCTTACGGACGCCTACAGTCTTATATGCTTTCTCCACATCAATTACAACCCCATCAATCGACTGCTGAAGCTCGCTGACGAGCCCATCGGGATCAAACCCTTGCAAAAGCAAATTATTCAACTCTTCAAAAGAGTTCTTCTCGCGCCCATCTGTCCTTCGTTTTTTTGAATTAAAAATAAAAGAATCAACTAGTTCGACTGGTAGGTTACCATTCGCCTGCAGTCTTGCGGTGGCAGTTGCTAAGGCAAGCGCCTCTAACGCTGACGGTAAAGGGGCTACCTTTGACAAGGAGCAATCAGAATTGAAGATGCGCGCATCATCTATCATCCGATGCTTCCCCTTCTGCAAAACTGCAAACCGGGGAATTAAATGCGTAACTTCACTAGAAATCTCGTCCAACGAAAAAGGGCCACGCAACATGCCTGATGATGCCTCATCCGCAGTGACATCCCAAATTTTCTTAGCAACATCCTCACTCAAGAACTTAGGCTTACTTTTATTCAAAAAAGAGGTCTTCTTACACCGCCGAAAAAGCTTGTCTATGGTGTCGTCAACAACCTTAATCCGACGATCAGCCCAATGACCTGGACACCAAACAGGCCCACAACAAGTTCCACCTTCAAGCACGAGTTTCCAGGCTTCAGGGTCGCACTGGTGAAAAGTCTCGTTCAAAACTCGTAATAAAGAGATGTTCTTAAAACCCTGCACCTGATGGTTTATCCTGCTAAAAAATTGGAAGTCGTCAACTGACGCAGCCGGCTGATATGAAGCCGACTCTAACTCATCTAACAAAGCGACTCCTTTATCAATAGAGTCCAAAGTAGTGGCCTTCTTCACTACTAGCTCTAGATTTTCCTTACTGATCACCGGCTCAAACCGGTTCATCAGTGCATTCTCGCAATCGTTAAAAATCCGGCCAATGTAATCTCCGGCAGTACGCGCCTTATTCTTCTCGGCGTTACGAGCAGCTTTACGCTGCGCCTTGGTCATGGAATCTTTCTCTACCATCTGAATACTGAGAAAAAAGAAAACTGACGCAACGATCGTTTCATGAAGAAGACGAAGTTCCTTGCCTAAGATCTGGATGAGATGAAACTTTTATAAACAAATAAAACCTACTCACTCTTGCAAGGCCAATTTTCCACTCGCCAATTTTCAACTGACTCTCAAAAAGCCCTCAAGAACAAGCACAAATCCAACAAACAACCGGAAGGTTCCGCCGCAAATATGAATAGCTATCTCAAGTGGCTATCACATATTCAAAGCAGAAAGAGCCTGAGGCTCAAATGCACCAGACTCTGGAGATCTAATATTGTCTTAATGCTCAAAAATGAACCCTGTCATAATAGCAACAGCTGCTGCAAAACTCGCACCGAGTAGCTGCGCGGCGGGAAAACCTTCTTGCTTGCTCTTGAGGGGGTAATGCTCGACCGCAGTCTAACACTAACGAGCCCCTAACAGCGAGAAGAGGGATTGGAAGTTGGGTGGGAAAAAGAAAAAGAAGAAAGAAGAATAAGAAGAAGAGGAACAAGAAGAAGGAATAAGAAAAACAAGAAGAAGGAAGCTTTAATTGGGTCGTTTCACTCCAGGCCCCGAACAAATGAGAATTCAAAGAGGAAAAGTGGAAGAATAGGGAGAAGGTTTTCCCGTGATCTTTCGCCAGCTATGAAGGCGATGTTTGCTACGCAAAATCCCTATTTTAATCACATGTATAAAGTTAGTAACCAACGATATTGCATTTCTACCATCTTCAAGGTGACAGTAGCATCCTCTTCATAAACAATTGACGACTCTGCGACTTTGGTCAACTTGAGATACATCTGCTCAACCAACGGCGTCGCAGTCTGGATCACGCGGACGTAGGGTGAGACCAACACGCGCAGCTGCTCTGCGGTGACGATCTCGGAGAGGAGTTTACCAGCAACAGCAGTAGCACTAGCATCTGCGACATCTTGGATTTTTCCTTGACTTTTATCGTGACTTTCGAGTAGGTCCCTGATCACCTCAGTAGCTGTGTCACGAGCTTGCTGGTGCCCAAGTGCAGACAAGGGAGGATCGATCGGGCAGTGATTGTGCGAGACAATGTCGAACTTCCAATTGGCATTGGCGTAATCGAAACGGTCGCCGTGGCGGATAAGGTAGATAGTGGTCTTTTTTTTGCGCGCCTTCATTTGAGGTTCGGCGGTTGTAGCAGGTGTAGACGACATGTTCCTCATGGTCATGGTCTTTCTTATGGATCAAACTGCAGTTAGGTTTCTCCTACTTTCTCGACAAACTGGTCAGCATGAGCTGTTAAGTTGCTTGTTTCATATGAGAATTTTAAACACTTGCATGTCCCATGACTGTGGTGTTCTTGTTTCTGCGTGGAAATAACCTTCTTGGAGTCGCTCTCGCGTAAATGAGAGCCGTAGCATCGTCTTTGCGATCATGCTGTGTCATATCATCTACTGGTCGCCAGATCTCATTCAACGTGTAACAATGTCTTCGTGGTGACCAACAACTCATTTGCATACAATATGTGAAACGACCGAACACTAGAACGTAGAACATTATTTGAGGAAAGATCTATTCAGTTGTATCAGTCTACACTCCTAAGCTCAAAAAATCAAGGCTAAAGAAAAACTACGGAAACTACGACTAACGCTCCCCTGCCCTATGTTATATTAGAGTAAAACCAACAGGCGTGTCATTTCCGTTGTTGGAGTTGCCCTCGTGTATGCTGTGATGGATCTTGGTCGAACATAATCTTTCTCAACAAGCAGTATGTTGTTCGTCGTGTATTGCAGCTTACGCTTAATTTCAGACGAAGTCACTAAACAAGCTCTGAAGGAACTTGCGTTCGCCTCTGCTCAGTCCGTATCAAGCATTTGTACGAGCAAAATGAAGGCGTAGCCGATTGATAGGGAGATGAACTTCTGACCTGGATTCGTTGTCATCACGAATTCTTCAGTGATAATCTCTGACATTCCAATGTAAAGCAGCGTGCCTGCTGCGACAGCGTTCACGCAGCCCTGATGTGGTGGTAGTCGTAGTGGTAGTGGGATGCCGTGTCATAAATGATAGCATCAGGATCAGAAGTTTCAGTATTAGCACAATAGAGCTGAGTCCAACCGAGGCATGTTGTCCCTGTTTATTGAATGGAAGGAACTAGGAGTGTTTACATGGCACATCAGAGTCAGAGTACCTGCAATGCCTCCAACTCGATCGCGCTAATCCCCATTCCCAGCAGTATTCCTACAGGACTTGAGAGTGCGAAGATGCTCAGGTAGCCATATGCTTTTTTCTCTGGTATTTTTGCCGTAGCAAACGCGGTTCCGATCGCGAACGCTGCTGCCCATTTGTGACAGACGAGTTTTTTAGAGGTTCACGAGTTGGTAAGAGGTAACTCTGGCTCTAACACGAGTTGGTAAGAGGTAACTCTAGCTCTAAAAAGATAGAGGCTCACGAATTGGAGAGTTCTGGTCGTCGATTGACAACTGAACTTGGTCAAGTTTGATGACAACTGAACCTGTCCCAGTTCTTCCAGTACTTTTTTCTTCACTTTTCAGTAGTTTCAACAACAATCTGTATCTGGATCATAACACACAAAGCCACCATCATTGCGCTTTCAATTGAGCGGCTAATGCCAATTACGATGCCTTCAAAAACTGAGTGAACCGACAACGCCAGCATCATGATGTACGCGCCTTTGCCTCCTTGCTGCAAACCGGTGCTGTAATGGTCATGGTTTCCATGGTCCTCCCCAGAAAATAAGTGTCCGTGGGACGCATCGCTAGAACGAGAGGCGCCATGTCCATGATGACCATGAGAATGATGACAACCGTGTCCAAGACCATGATCATGACCACAACAATCGCCATGAGCATGACCACTAGAATCGCCATGGGCATGACCACAACAATCGTCTCCAGCTTGTATCGTTGTTCCTCCAACATCTACTTTAACTACCGCGTCACCGACGACTAGTGCGTCATCCCCCTCTCCAGTGGAGACTCGTTTCTGGGCCAATGCAGCCTCTTCAGAAGTTAAACAGGTACTTCTTGATGAGCTTGAGCTGCATGCAGCTCCGGTTCCACCACCGGGTGAGGTACTGGAGTCACAACCTGAGGAGCCGAATAATGCTCTTGAGCTTGTACTCGCTGGATCTTCTTTGCCAGAAGACAAGTCTTTGACGATGGCGCCGCTACAACTAGGCGCAACGAGGACAGCGCCTTCAGCTAGAACGAGGTCCTCTGAGGCTTCAAGTAGATTCCCTTGTGCTCGAGATAGGGATGTCCTTCTTCTACAACCGGCGTCACTGCAATACTCATGGATGACGCAACATTTTGCCGAGACTTTTCTTTTGAGGCTGTCCGCGGCTTCCTTATTCGAGCTAGGATTCGCACCAACGACGCGTTCACAGAACAGGATTAGCATATACCCGGAGAGTTAGAGATGAGAGAATATGATATTAATGCCAACACCTACACCTCCCAATTTTTTCGTCCTCATAAAACCTTCTGCTCAACATCAGTTTCAACCTTCTCGAAGGCACTGATTTGAATAAATCGGAATTTCGAATAAGTAAGAAATAGAATATCTTGTATTTCTTTTCCAGTGCCCCCTACCACGCCTCCATAACAAAACGCGCCCACGCCCACCACGTTCAGCTTTGGATTCTCCAATTCGGGTGCCAGCTCGAAGGCTTCTGGTAGGAGATGGTTCATACTCATCCCTAAAAACATCCCTGCGGCACACACGTTGGCCAACGTGATAAAGCTTTCTTTGCACACCCTTTCGGCATACCGAATCCGAAATACGGCACTGCCCATCGCCAAAACGAACAGCAAAATGGTCACCGATATTTGGAAAATGCGGAGAGAAGTGAGCGCTGAGCCGGAAGGTAGGGGACGAGGTTCGGTGGAGACTGGCGAGTAGTGAGGTGAGAGCGCATTTTGTTCTTGTTGTACTTCTTGGCGGGTACCAGCTCGTTGGAGTCCGTGTCCTCGTCCGACGAGTGCTTGGTCAACATCATCATCGACATGATCTTCTAGCAGTCCATTTCCAGGATGTTGACGCGGAAGAAGTGGCGAAGAAAGTAGAGCTTCTGGAGGTTGTCGTGTGTGTCGCGCTTGGTGCTCTTGGAGCAGCTCACCACGCTTGGAGGCCCTAGGGATGGGAAACCACAGTTGGAGGGCACTGGTAACTCGGAAAATGGTTGCGAACGGTCGCATTTTTTCGACAAGCGTTTTATCTCTCACTACAACTTGGTTCAAGAACAAAGTTCTTGCTTCGAATCTAAAGTACTTAGATCTTCTACTGTCATGGCTCAGCCTCAGTCTCACTCACGACTCTTTTCAGAAAATAATGATGCTTTATTCTGTAGCAGACATGCACAAATTAGAGGTATAGGAAATCCATCCCAGTAATCATCTGGGTCGCGTTTTCTCTTTGTTTTTTCCTTCCAGATGACTTTATCGGAGATCGTGAATTCCCTACACCCAATAACCAATGAGTATTCTCTGCTTGTCTCTCAATCTCTAAATCCTTTACCAACTCTTTCTGATCTTTCGTATGAACTCTGCATACAGGCGCTGTCTCCAGCAATCAGAACGTGCAGCCCGATCGTCAGGATTGGTGTTTACAAGCGTTGCCAAAAAACATTGCTCAGCAACAGCGTGTAAGCAGATTTCATCTAGTCGTGAACATGAGCTGCATTCTTAAACATCCTCACGGTTTATTTTTGTCCACCCAAGACTCTGCCACATGCCATCCGCACTGCACTGTAGGTAAGCGTCTTCAGGATGTTGTTTGGCTTGAAACGAGCTCATACAGACGCTCGTGACCATCCTCATTTGAGCAAAATGATGGATGATGTCCTTGTGTATGTCGTCTTGTCCTCCCTCGCTCTTCACCTCTTCGACCCATCCATCAATAAAAGCATCAGCACAGGCAGGAGAAGGCGCGTAAGCAGCACCTATGGCAGCGTCCGCGAACGGATAGGAGACAGCAAGATCACCAAAGTCTAGCACGATGACTTGATTTGTTCTGGTCCCTCCTGGTTTGAGGACCAGATTGTTGTCGTTCGGATCATTGTGAACCAATGTCCTTGCATTTAGGTTGGTCCCCGGTGGTCGGTCCTCTTTGTTCGAAGTGCCAAATTCTCCCAGATGGTCCTCGAAAAGACGCTTCACCAAAGCCAGTCGACCACCTTCCTTCTCTACATGCGGAAGATACTTTGGCAACGTGGACTCTAAAGTCGTCAGGTTCCACTCGAAGTCGCTGTTCAAGGTTTCCCAGAATCTTGAGTAGATTGAGACTGAGTCTTCGACTTCCTGTAGTGGCCGCATCTTCTTCTCTTCATAGAATTCCCTCAATGTCTTCGATACTATACCAACGCTTTTGCCTGCGCTATGCCAGATGTCGGGATTGCATTTCTTCTTCACGTCGTCTTCTATACCCCCTAATACTTCTCCCTCTTCGAAAACCAGGAGACGGGCATAGAGACGAGAAGTGGAGTCGTGGTTCAAGTGTTGATCGAACTTCAAGTCGCTATCGAGGCCCGCGTCTTCCGCGCAGGCCTGTTGTTTGCTGTTCAGGGATAGAAAGAAATCTTCCGGCTTCTGGTCTTCCACATCTCCTTCCGTCTCAAAAGTAACCAACCTCTGTGTCGGACATCCGCGTTTCATGCAGAAGAGCATGGCCTCGGTCTGGGCACGTAATAAGCGCCACTCATCACCACGATTCGACACCTTCAGAACAACGCGGTCTTGTTTTTCAACACAACTTTGGCTTTGGGCTTCTTGGTGTTGTAGTATCCTCTTCAGAAGATAGTTGCGATCACGTTCGGATGGCAAAGTTTTTTCGAATGCGAAGCTTGTGCTTGTTGTCGCATGCTGTCGTGAAAACCAAGACGTTAACGCAGTTGCAATGGCATTGCCATCGTAAGCAGGAGGTCGCAGATCGACCGCGGCGTCCATTTTGGTTGTAAGGGATCACTTATATCCAACGAATAAAAATTTACTTGGGAAATCCTTTGAGAAGTGACTGCTTCTAAGGGACCATTACTTTTTCACTCGGTTGGATCCGCATGGCATTATACACGTCTAATGAAGGCAGGATGAACAGGAGCAGAAGCAAGCACAATCCAAGATGGATCTAAAATCATCCTTACATCAGAGTCATCAGTGCAAACCTTGTTGTTGTACACGACTTTTTATCGAGGCATGGTGCAGTAAAGCTTCATCGTAGAGAAAGACGAGTGTCTGTTTCTTTTCAAATTCGAACATAGTTCGGTGTGAAGGGGAAATGAAGCTCGGCGATGCAGATTTGATGTTACATCATGGATATGATGCTGGAAATGACGAATGTAAGAAGAGAGATCATTGTGGTCGATCCAGTGAGCGAGGCTGTTATAAGAACTATTTTTTTGTGTTGTGTCTTTTTTTTTTTGTATACCTAGTCAAACTCCCCGGGCCCGGGTGCCCCGGGAGACGTTAAGGAAGGGAAAAGGATACTTTAGGGACGTGGGCGGGGGTGAATGGTTTCACAAGGTGAAACGGNGCCCGGGTGCCCCGGGAGACGTTAAGGAAGGGAAAAGGATACTTTAGGGACGTGGGCGGGGGTGAATGGTTTCACAAGGTGAAACGGGCGCCCGAGGGGCGCGCACTCCCCTCCGCGTGGCGGTGATCTTACAAACAAGAGCAAGGTGGCAGCACTGCCACCGATGCCGTTTGAAAGTGTGGCAGTATTGCCAATTGTGTAAGTCGAAAATACTAGCCTGGTGAAGGATATTCAGCCCAGAAAAACGAAGATCAACCAAGAAGCTGGAAACTTATACCGAACCAAGGTCCTCTTTTGGCAGTACTGCCACGATTTTCCTCTTAGAATGGTGGCAGTACTGCCAAAGAGATGGATCCCAAAAAAAAAAATACGCCGTCCAAAATAAAAGCTCAGCCGTGCCCCGCCGCTAAAGAGATCAAAAAAAAAAGAGATCAAGCCTGCCCTGGTGTCGCCGTTCTTAAAGAGCGGGAAAAAAAAAATTGCTTCATTTTTAACTATTCGCCGCAGGTTAAGCGCTTCGAAGGGGGCTAAAAGTATTGCTTAAGGGGGTACCTGGGAGACTTCTCCAAAGGTTTACGCGAGTAGTTTTAGGCAGTTTCTGTAGCGTTTTCGTTCTATTTTTTTAAAAGATTTTTTTTTTTAAAATGGCACCATCGGCCAAGGCGGCACAGCTGTGCAGCAAGCTCCTGCAGGAGATTGGGGCCGGCGGATGGAAGGCAGCGGTCGCCCACGTGTCGGCGGCTTTGTTAGATTGTGGCGAGACGCGCGCGCAAGCCTGTGGCGCCTGTTTGGGGGAGGTTTTGCGGCGGGAACGTGCTAAATCCGGAGCGGCTTCCGCGCTGTCAAAGAAGAGCGAGAAGGAGCCGGGGCGCCGTGGGCTGAGCACGTGGCGAAAATGCCCACGGGGAAAGGCGAGGGAGCTAGTTAGCCGCGAGGGCGAGAAGGTGCGGAAAGAGGTAAAGCGCTGGGCCAAAGGGGCGGGGTTCGTGCTAAAGAAGAAGAAGGGGGGGGCGAAATAATAGGAAAAAAATAAGCAGGGGGAAAGAATGGAAGAAGTTAGGGGGTGGATTTGTTGTAAACTTGAACAGTAAAAGGACACGCGCAACCGCTTAAAAATATCAGAAGCAAAAAAAAAGGGCAGAAGCATCACAAAAATGAAAAAACGAAACGCCAACGCGCAGCCGGGGCCCTTTCTGTGGGTTTCGGCTTCTTTATTGGCGTGCAGTTGCTGCGCCTGTGTGTTCGTCATATCGGTAAAAGTGAGAGAGAGAACAGAAAGGAAAGAGGGACGGCCCGCGGGTGCTCTTTATCGGTTGGAAGAGAGAGAGAAAAGAGCGCAGGCGGCTGCTAGTTTTTGTCGGTAGTGCAAAGGGGCGCGAGGTGTTCCCGTGAGAAAGAGAGCGAAAAAACGAGGGCCCGCGAGGGCTGTGCGCTAGTGATAGCGAAAAAAGGCGGACCCTGTTCCGAAGATGGTAACAAGAACAAGCAACCAAGAGGCGCCGGCGGGCAGTGAAACACGCACCACCACGGGCACCATTTTCAACGCGTTGGCCATAGCTGGCGCGGGTGTTC